TGCTGGTGACTACAACTTCCTGCTATCCAAATTAAATTACACGAAATGTGTATATGAAATGTAGGCTAAGCATCAAAATACTTTTCTGACCCCTAAACCCAGCTCAAAGCACCATGCTCTCAAAAATAGCACAGATTAAATTGATAAACACGCCTCCTCTTCCTGGGCCAATGTGTAGAACCATATTCAAAAGAAGCACACAAAACGGCAAAATAAATCTTTGGCAGAAGGAAGAATAACTCGTCACGATCAAACGTATTGGAAATGTCACAAAACCAGGAGATTCGCCTGAGCCTGGTTCTAAATGAGTTAAATATAGGCACAAGCCATTGATGACGCAAACACAATGTAATAGTAGGCACACACATAGGTTCCTGCATGCTTACACTTGTTGTTTCACCAAATGCATTCATGTTCCAGTATGACCCTGCAAAAATTCCAGAAACTTGTGGCAGTTCACACGCATACACATTTTGATTCTAGGTAAGCTTGCACATAAAAATTGCACCGCAGCATATTAAGGGTTAATTTAAAAAAAGTTATTTTAATGACAGCCACAACAGTCAATTATAATAAAAAAAATAAACAAACATATTTCTGACCATGACATGAATCTCACCTGGCCCATAAAATTTCTTCCCCCTGGTAACATCGAACACCTTGCCATTTATTGCCATCAGAATCCGGGGATTTTGCGCGCCATCAAATTCTTTAAGTTCTGCCAAAGTGAAGTCTCTTTTTTTCATTTTGGGCAAGTGTTCTTCTTTATCTTCATCTGATGTTCTAGGTTTGTCCCCCCTGACTATTTTATACAGCAGGTACAAACAGAGACACAAAAGACATATATTTAAAGGAGAAGTGAAAATCTCCTGCAAAAGACCTTCTTCAGCCATTTTATAATCTTGCTTTTAGTTTTTTTCCGAAACCAAGCATTCAATCCTCTGACCGGTAATTTGTCATCAAGTGCCTACATAGTGAAGAAACAAAAAAAAAAACGTAAATAACCTTGAATTAAACAAAGTATGCGTATTGGCTGCAATCCAGTGCATTGTTGTATGTTGACTAACCGACATGTTTACTGCTTATATTTATGTAATTACATTTAATTGTATGAGCTGTTGTTGGAAAGACAGTGAAAACAAATTAAGAAAGCTCGAAGTCTAGGAAATAGCAAGAGACATCTAAACGGAGCTTACCGTAGATCTCACTTACCCTGGGTTTCTGAGTGTTTGGCTAGTCTAAAGTGTATTCCACTGGGTCACTCCCATTCCAGCTCTGCAGAAAACCTGGATGGAACTAGCAGGAGAGAGCAAATATTACAGCATTCCTGTGTGCAAAAGAAATAGAGGCGTGTCATCCAATGCACACTGGGGCAAACGTCACTGCAAGTGGATCCTCAGCACATATACAGATGCCTTTCTTGTACTTTACATTTCTTCTATATTACCCTTAGCAGGACACCAAGATGATTACACTCACACTAATGATGGATTAGTTGCACAGTGACTAACCGTACAGAACAGATTAAAGAAAAAAAAAAAAAAAAAAAAAAAACATACAGAGAAATCTCCTGATTTAATATTACAGTGTCTAATTTTCTGACAGGGGAGAGGAGGAGGAGGGGGGCCATTCAGCAGGCAATTCTCCTCATGTTTGTCACTGGAACTACAGGGAATGGACAGTAGCTGCTTTGATACCACTTTGCCAGAGAAATATAGGAACAAATTGACAGATGTCACTCCTTTCTGACAGCCATCATAGGGAAGGGGAGATGGGATGTAGGCTGTAGAGGGGTGTTACATTAATGTAAAACTCACAGACTCTGATAAAGAATTTATTTATTGCATAAAGCAACTCTGATGTTTGGCAGAGAAGAGGTTAAAGTAATATACACCTATCTGAAGCCATCCCTCATGGGGGCTGCCAGAGGACTGTAGTGGTTTCAGAGCAGAGCAGACATGGTTGCCTGTGCTCCTGAATCTTGGACTGCTTAACGGCTTATTAATCCCAGCTACCAATCAACTGAACCCACTGTCGGGCACTGGCAAGTCAGGGGACATCGGTGGAGCAAATCAAAGCTTTGATCGAACATTCGCAACATGCAATGCATCTCTATGTGGAGATTCTGTTTGGCCAGGGTGGTGTGTGGCTCCACCTCCACCCCCACCCCGCCTCCATGGCGGAGATCATCAGAATTGACAATCTCAGCCAATCCAATGATGTCCTATGGGTATAAAAGATAAGTAAACTACTTGTTTAAGGAGGGGTAAGGGGGACCTAAATACTGTTTTTAACACTATAGGGCCAGGAATACACTTTGTATGTGATCCCATAGTGTTCCTTTAACTATATTAAAGAACCACTCCTCACCCATAAAGCACTTCAGCTTGCTGAATGATGGTTTTATAAATAATGAATATAACAACCAACTGGCTGCCAACAGCTGGGGGTGTTCTCCCTGCTTCTTCTAAACGAATATAAGTGGCAGACGCACTGAACTTGAGCACACCTGCTTTCCCCAGCATACCTCAGATCAGACCTCACAGCAGCATGCTGTAAGTGGGTGCGCATGCCCGGAGAAAGACGTTCAAAGGCTTCTCAATGAGACTGAAAGTGTCTTCTGGGGAAAAAGTTCATAAGAATTGCAGCTTGTGCAAACTGTTTAAAGATATAAACTCAATGAATACATGCATCAAAATGAATGCATGCATTAACTGGGGGTATATCTACTAACCACTGATTTCTAATTTTGTGACCATTTGGGCAGTGTAGTGTTTCTTTAAACATTCACCACTGCGTTCCATTTTATCCATGACACAAAGGCTAGAACGTAGTGTTCCTCTATCAGAATGCAGAGGTGGGGGTTTGCTAGGCTAGTGTTAAATATACATAGAAAACGGTAGTCGAAGGATAGTGTAAAAACAAAACCTTTTTAACATGCGCTTATACTGACTTACTTTTTTCTAAATAAGGTTTAAATAAAAAAAAAAAAATACAGCCCTTACTGTGTAAAAGTAGTTTGTAGTTCCACAGACACAGGAGAGTTAATTTGCTAAACACAGATTTTAAAGGTCTGACTTCTTCCCTAGAGTTTCTGAGGTCACCTCTTCCGTCTCTACTAATATGGTCGGAGAAACAGAAATTCCTAAGCAGGAATATCCGTTCACTAAGAGGTTTGTTCATTAAACTTATTTGTAGTTAATTTACACAACATTGCACAATTTAGGCTAAAATGGACACAGTGAAACTGTAGCTGAGATTTATAAATTAGCTAATGTTGCCCACATTTTGCAATACGAAACAACAACTACTCCTTTTTATTATAAAGTAACTGAATCCGCAGTAGTGGTTATGACGCCAGGAGTACCCTGGCCCTGTTTCGCCAGTAATGAGTCAAAACATATTGTAACGGTTTGTTCTCTTACCGCGGCGCACAGTGTTAGTTGACCTTGCCAGCCAACCATTGGCTGAGATCAGATAACCACTCTCACCCAATAAATCCAATTCTATTACGAGCTAGCTAATGACGTCAGTAAGATGCGGCCTGAGGTGGCCTTACATATCTGACGGCATAGGGGTTAAACTCTCATCATACTGGAAAAAACGCACAGACTCGCGGCACCATGACCACTTCAAATCACTGACGTGACCTTTACCTTTTGAAGTAAAACCCTTAAAATTGGTAGCGCTGCCTAGTTATGGTATTCTCTGCCATTTGTACTTTAAATAGGCCTCTCACTGACCGCGATTTACTAGGGCGAGAATTCAACGTGAATATTACATTTATGCCCAGATTAGTTAAACAGAAAACATACCAGACAGAAAATTTTGGGAAATATATTAATGCTGAAATTAGTTAAATTCAGCCTCATAAAAATATAGGGCACACAGTTATAGTGGGGAATAAATAACCCCCTTACCTACTGCTATGGATTGCAAGCATTTAACTCCTAACACTGGGGACCATGCAATGTGTACAGATAATATATATATGTATATATATTAAATTATGAGTCCTAAGTAAAGCCGTCACAATTGACGCACAAAAGCAGTGTTATAAGCGCAAATATCTTAATAAATAACGTGCAAATCAGATACGAGGAGAAAACTTACACAGACACAGCACAGCAACGCTTTACAATGCAGGGGCTGTTTGCGCATGCGCAGGGGGAGGCCTTTGCCCACGAGTTGATGGCAAACATTGTTGCCTGGCACTGCGCGTGCGCACAGACACTCCCGCTCAACTATCGGTAAAAGGACTAAGGCGCTCGCCGGAAGTGAAGTGTGCGCACGCGCAAGAGCTCTATGTATATTAAAAAAAACAAAAATAATAATAAAAAAAACAATTTACCAAAACACAGACATTTAAATAAATATAAAACCTCTGTGCATATTAAGAGATGCTTAAATGTTTACTTTTAGGATTAAGTTACATGAGATAGGCGACAATTAAAAAAAAAAAAGGTGCAGAAAACAAAAGTAATTCGATTAAAAAACAAAACAAAAAACAGACAGCGGTCTCCAGTTACACATATAACCTAAGCATGGCTCTGTCACACCTAAAATATTGCTATCTGGGCTGGAGACAATGCATTTCAATGGGTGCATGGTGAAATGAACTGATCAGTAGCAGGATGTCCACTGCTAAACTCCCATCATGTCAAATCCTGATATTCATTATCCTTACACAGGGAGATCCTGGCTGAAGCAGAACTCTGAATCCCTGGAAGCTTTGGGGTTACTAATATATATATAAATAAACAGACATCCTGGTGCAAAGTTCTAACAGTGGAGCACTCAGCAGGAACGTTCTATTAGTTACCATGGTGACTGCTCCACTAAGAAGTTTGCCGCAGAAACACTATTTTTGCATATAACCCCCCTTTTCTCTTGCAAAGCATCTAATGAGTTGTAGTAGTAGCTGGGGATCTACTTTTTGTCCACCCCTCGGTGGGTGGAACCTGCAACCTGTGTAGCCAATGGTAAACATGAATAGCTGAGCTGAAAGTAGCCAACCAGCAGCTGACAGTGGCCCCTGACCTGGCAGAGGGTGTACTAGAGAGATAATAGTGTGCACGATCCTTTCCTCGCTGCCCCTTGCCAGCCTGTGCCCATGTCCTCCTGCCTATAACAAAACTCACTGCACCCACCCTGAAGTACATCTCTCTGCATGGCAAGTCTCAAGAGGGACCCCAGGCTGACCTACTGGCAGAGCACACTATGTGGGGGTGTTGCTGGGGTGCTGAGCCGCACTACTACTGCCCCCCTGGATGTAGTGAAGATACTCACACAAGTGGGCACTTTCCACTCCAAACAGGGCTTCCTGAACACTTTCCACGTGCTGTGCAGAGCAGAAGGAGTGAGAGCCCTATGGAAGGGTAACCTAACTGCTTGTGTGCGCCTCTTTCCTTTCAGTGCTGTCCAGCTGTCAGTCTATAAAAGGTAAGTACTGCCCAGGGAGGCTAACTGTGCCAGGGCTGCTGGAGACATCTATCTATCGAGAGCAGCGAATTGCGTTTATGTCTTACTACTATAATGTAATTATTTTATTATGTATAGATTGTAAACACCAACTAATCTATGTTACTCTCTTTCTTAACAATTCTTCAAGAAGACTAATAATTGGGCATGTTCAGGTTTACAGATTTATCCTTTGAGGAATAGTTTATACTTGTTACACTTTTATCTAAAATGGATAGAAACATCTACAATGAATGTGGATAATGCATCTCACCTTTATGTACTTCCTTATTATATCAGTGCTACATTCGGATTAATACATATAGAAGAAAGGGAGTGATAGTACTCAGGATACCTCCCTGCCATCCAATAAACATGTTAGCAAGTGTCAGCTGAGATAAACATCACATGCACAATATGAAACCCTGTACTAGTTATAGCCTGGCATTTAGCATGCTGCAGCTGCACTGACCTATGTTTAGGGCATGTCAGCCACAAAAAGACATTTGTTGGTTTGGTTATGAAGTATAGATGTAAATTTTATATTATTTTTCAAAAGAGTTCAGTGCAGCCCAGATTTCTGTGTTATGTAAGCCCTTGATCGATACTGAAATATGGGATGGCTAATTTATAAGCAGAGAATCACATATTGTTTTCTTTTTCAGCAGAATACAATACAGGATAATGTTTTAAAGGTAATACTTGCACATTTTTGGCTATTTCCCTTTAGGGTTTATTAACTAAATACCGAAATGTAGTAAATTAAAAACTGAATTGAAAAATAGCAAAAAGGCTCATACTCTGAAGCATGAATTTTGCAATTTATTTTTCATTGCATTAGAATTTGGTGTTTCCAGGACCAAAAAAGACAACTATGAATTTTGACATATTGATTTGCAAGGACTATTTCTCTATCTGCGTAGCAGTTAACCAATTAAAAGCCTAGAATGTCCTGATACTATCCCTCTGTTTAATGTGAACATATTTTAACAGTTTGATATAAAGTTAGGGTTTACAGCTTGGATTGCATTTATTAACACATGCATGCCAGGCTGTCATGCCTCTTATTTGTCTGTCTAAGCCCCATTTCTGGGCAAGACGACTCATTTTGGGTACTGCCAGTCACGCACGTCATGTCAGTTTCATGCCCACATAGGCCTGCCTACCCTCGATCTCCATTTTATATCTTCCAGTGTTGGGAGGCACGCTGTACTATAGAGTATTTTGTGTTAATATACATCACCTGATGTATTAAAAGCATTATGATGAGCTTACCCACATGCCTTCCTTCTCTTTTTCTCATTGATCATTGGGAATAAGATCAAATATGCAAACCTAGGCATTGGCATGGTACCCCCACCGCTCAGGTACTGGTAAAATAAAAATGAGAAATAGAACCCTTGCTCCCTAGAAAGTAAGAGTCAGATATACAGTGCTCATAGACTACAATAGGGTAGATCTATGAAAGGGACATGTTCTGAAAAGTGATACAAGGGGCGCAGTCCCCAATGGAGTGTGCCTGCTGGTTCCTCTAATTTCTATGGTTGTTGGCTCAATTTTAATACTTTGCTGCATTTTTCAGGACAGCACTGTGAAAAATCTATTTTTTTTTTTTTTTTCTAGAGTGGTTTGATGTGATTATACAGTCTGCGTTATGACATAATTACATGAAGGATTCCTGTGAATGAGAGACAGTTTAAGCTTGTTTATCATCGAAAAATAAATGTGTTTATTTTAGAAATTCAAGACACTGGCAAGGATATGGATGGTATCCATATCAATCACGCCAATATTATGTTTGCTTTAAAGCAGAATTGATGAAACATGTTTTTCTACCCTTCTTTTTATTTCCTTTCTTTTTGTAGATTAACATTATTTTGTATGGATGACTTTGGGCAAGTTACTGTATGGAAAGCCATTGTTGCAGGGAGTATCTCAGGAATGGTTGCTGCTGTTGTGATCTATCCCACTGATCTCATCAAAACACGACTAATCGTACAGAACCGCCTAGAACCCACCTACAGAGGGATTATTCATGCTTTTTGTTCCATCTATTACCAGGAAGGATTCCGGGCTTTGTATCGAGGGGTTTCTCTACCACTTATCGGTATGTAAACTCATGGTTATAAATGTTACTCTACGTCTTCCAATTTGTTTTTAAAGGATCACTATAGGGTCAGGAACACAAACATGTATTCCTGACCCTATAGTGTTAAAACCACCATCTAGCCCCCCTGGTTCCCTCATGCCTCCATAAATATAGCAAACTCTTACTGTATTCAAGCCTGAAGCTGTAACTCTGCATGCTGTTTGACTCAGTAAAAACAAGCAGTCTGCTGACATCATCAGAAGTGGTGGCCTGATCCAATCACAATGCTTCCCCATAGGATTGGCTGAGACTGACAAGGAGGCAGATCAGGGGCAGAGCCAGCATGATTCAAACACAGCCCTGGCCAATCAGCATCTCCTCATAGAGATTAATTGAATCAATGAATCTCTATGAGGTAAGTTCAGTGTCTGCATGCAGAGGGTGGAGATACTGAATGTTTGGAAGCATTTTAGGCAGCTATGACCCAGGAAGGATCTGTAACAGCCATCTGAGGAGTGGCCAGTGAAGTTATCACTAGGCTGTAATGTAAACACTGCATTTTCTCTGAAAAGACAGTGTTTACAGCAAAAAGCCTGAAGGTAATGATTCTACTCACCAGAACAAATTCAATAAGCTATAGTTGTTCTGGTGACTATAGTGTCCCTTTAAATTACATGTGTAGTGAATTCCTTTTGAAAAGAACACACCAATGCACTAACACTCTGTACCCTACTGAAGTGATTTAGGAGTTAACAATACCCCTCTTTCTCACTTTATTAATGTGCCAATTTTAAGAAAAAAAAATTCCTGGGTATTCCTGGTGTCGTACTGCAGAGAGTGTTTTTCCTCACTGCTTTGTGCTATAACATAAAGCGCATTCACATAATTTTTGCTGAGAAGCATTGTCTTCAGTGTTTCTCTATGAGAAGCAGTGCAGGGAAATAATTGCTGCGCATACACATTACCTCCAAATTCTTCTTTGAGAGAAGCATTGGATGGGCTGGGAGATCAGCTCTAGTGACTATCTTGCAGAGGCAGAGCTGATTTGTAGAGAGAGACCATCTTAGTGCTGGATCAGTGCTAAGTTAGAGGGTTATTCCAAACACTAGGACACCTTCAGTGTTTTAAAGTGGTCATGGTGCCTGGAGTTTGCATGTGCAATATTTTGCCATGAAACGATGCACATAGCTTTAGCTGCCGAAGGTGTAACTCCTTCTTCAGTCTTGTTTTTGTTTCTTACTTGGGAGGTGGGGGATATTGTATTTCCTAATTTATTTTGAACCTTGATTTCTTGTCAAATAATTTTTTAGTTGGGTTCTCCTAAACAAGCATCTATACTCCAGACCCTTTTTTCAACATTCAAGGTTAAGTAGCTTTGTACATATGATGTGAAAGTTCAAGTTCCTCATTTCCTTTTTTATATATATATATATATATATATATTTTATTTTTGCACAGTTCACTGATCATGTATATATCACCATATATTTATCCAAAAATAACAAGCGTTATCAGCATTATTACAAAAATATGCAGGTGTAGAGGTAAACAGTTGAGAGTGAAATTAAGTGAACCAAGGGTTTTGTGATATTTGAGTGCCTTAATTTAATGGGTTACGCCAAAAACCATAACCACTTCAGTGATTTGAAGTGGTCATGGTGCCCTGATTCTGTACGTGCAGCATTTTAGTATTTTAGTTTAGAACAATCAGCTCATCCTCTTAGCTAATGAATGGCAACTGGATCGACTTCCTAAAGAGTGTCACCAGAGGGGAAAGGAGGCTCGGAGTGCAAACAGTTCCAAAATAGTTTTCCCCGTTGCCAGCGAACTGAGCCTGTAAACAAACACTACAGCAGGATGTAGTGGCTATGATGCTTGGAGCAACCCTTTAGTGTATTTTATTATTTTGATGTTTGTCTACTAAATTCTAAATAGAATATTGCAAGTTTTAGGCCAACATATCTGATTAATACAAATTTTTCAACCCAGTTATAGTCACAGATTGGATATTTCAGCATAAATATTGCAATTTGTTTTCTAGTTAATTTAGTGTTTAGTAAAAGGAAAAAAAAACTTTGTGTTTCTTTTCCCAGGAGCAATCCCGTTTTCCGCCAGCTTGTTCTTTATGGACTTAAGCTTGGACAGTTTGTGGCAAGAACCTGGTAGCCATCCAACCGCACTTCAGAATTTTATGAAAGGTTGTTTAGCAGCAGCCGTGGCACAGACGATATCTTTCCCCTTCGACACTGTAAAAAGGAAAATGCAGGTAAATCTATTGATCTTTATTTTCTAATGTGCCAGATTGAATAACAGTGGGAATAAATTGCTGGCTCTGCCAACATGTGTTCAGCACAAACAATAGAATGTTATGGATGTCCTTACATTCTTGATGAGACTTTAACCCCTTAAGGACACATGACAGAAGTTTGGTCCTTAAGGGGTTAAACATACAGTCATGGGGAAAAAGAAAGTACACCCTCTTTGAATTATATGTTTTTACATATCAGGACATAATAATGATCTGTTTCCTACCAGGTCTTAAAATTAGGTAAATACAACCTCAAATGAACAACAACACATGACACATTACACTGTGTCATGAATTATTTAACAAAAATAAAGCCAAAATGGAGAAGCCTTATGTGAAAAACCAAGTAGATCATATGAGTCAATAGCTTGCAGAACCACCTTTAGCAGCAATAACTTGAAGTAATCATTTTCTGTATGACTTTATTAGTCTTTCATATTGTGGAGGAATTTTATCCCACTCTTCTTTACAGCGTTGCTACAGTTCATTGATATTTGCTGGCATTTGTTTATGCACAGCTTTAAGGTACCGTCACAGCATTTGAGTTGGTTTGAGGTCTGGTCTTTGACTAGGCCATTACAACACCTTGATTCTTTTTTGCCATTATGTGTAGAGTTGTTGGTGTGAATGGGATCATTGTCCTGTTGCATGACCCAATTTCGGCCAAGCTTGAGCTGTCAGACATATGGCCTCACATTTGATTCTAGAATACTTGGTTCATGGTTCCCAGGTCCTGTGGCTACAAAACAAGACCAAATCATCACCCCTTCACCACCGTGCTTGAAAGTTGGTATGAGGTTTTTGTGCTGACATGCTCTGGCACTGTGGTGCTATGCATTATGGACAAATATCTCCACTTTAGTCTCATCTGTCCAAAGGACACTGTTCCAAAGTCTTCTGGTTTATTCAGATGCAACTTTGTCAAACTAAGCCATGCACTCTTGTACTTTTTAGAGAGATGAGGCTTTCTCCTGGCAACACTTCGAAACAAACCATACTTGTTCAGTCTTTTTCTGATTGTGCTGTCATGGACTTTACCATTTAACATGCTACCCGAGGCCTGTAGATTCTGAGATGAAACTCTTGGATTTTTTTTGTAATTTCTTTCAGCATTACACAGTCTGACCTTGACTACCTTGAATGTTTTCCACTTTTGAATAGTCGTGCTCACTGTAGAATGATGGGCTTTAAATTGTTTGGAAATGTCCTTATAACCTTTCTCGGTTTGGAGGGCAGCAACAATTATTTTTCTAAGCTCATTGCTGATGTCTTTCCTCCTTTGCATTGTGTTAACTCACACCTGAATGCTCTAGACCAGCAATCTGCTAAAACTTTGGCTTTTATAGAGGTGGCCACACTTGATGATCAATTAATTATGGGCATTTGATGAGCAGCATCTGTCTGCTACTTAGCCTCATAATTCCGATGGAAGCTGTAAGGGCGTTGTTAGTTTTTCATACATGGCTTTATTTTTGTTAAATTAATCATGACACGGTGTAATATGGCATGTTTTGTTGTTCACCTGAGGTTGTATTGACCTAATTTTAAGACCTGCTCAAGAACAGATGATTTTTATTTCGAAGTCCAGGAAGGACTACAAGAAAATATTGTTGGGAATAATGGGGGGAGAACGATAGGGGTAAGTATATCCCAACAGGTAGACTCCAGAAGGGAAGAGTGGCAAGTTCTAGATCGTCTGAGCATAATGTGAACTTTCCATTTCTGTGACATCTCTGGCCCAGGGTAACCAAATACTTAGACAACATGAAGACACATTCATTTTCATGTACGAGGCAGTCTTGAAATAGTGGAATATTTATTGGGAGGGCACTGGGACATTAGTTAATAGAACGTGAAGAAGTATATTTTGTGATACCTAAAAAAAGATGAGGTAGAGACTGCAAAAATAGTGCTTTCGTATGGATTTACAGGTAGACTAAGGTACATCTTCAGTGAGTATGGTGTTCTAAACATGGTACGTTTAAAGCGGAACTGTCCCTGTCTGGGGACTTTGCATAGACCCTGAAACGGGGCCATAGCAGCTGGGAATCTGGTGGCTGGGTGAGAGGCAGGCAAAGGTATGTTTAACATATCTGAACCTGTCCTTCCCAGGACCATTTTTTCTGGCTGGTCCTCTTCTGCTCCTGACATACAGCATTGAGGTCTTTGAAGGATCCTGCGAGACCATGGGATCCTCTATAGATAGAGCCAAACCACTGCAGCCGTCACATCACTAATGACGGTTGGTGGATTGTCACTTCTTGACGGCGGTAGTTCCGCCCAGTGTCTAGAAGTGTCTTGTGTCTCCATATATCTTTTGACTGGGTTGAAATTTCTGTGAAATTTCAACACAGTCAGTGTGAATATTGCATAAAGATTTTATCTTCATGAATACTCCATTTGCAGGAAGGGGGCACTACGGCACTAGCTTTCATAATCCACATTTGGGCATCATAGGCCATCTGTTTTATATTGAGTGGAAGTTTTTTTGTGTCTAGGTCAAGGATCACAATTTCCACTTAATCCTGCTTAATGGGATTGCGAAAATTGGTGCCTAGTGTGCTAACCCAGGATGTTGGTTATACCTACAGCCTTATGCACAAGTTGCCACATACAGAGGGAACCAGTAGTGGCTTTGTGGTTCCTGATGCTTCAGAATCAGAGTCTCTACCAACTGGAGCGAGTCCAGTCACATACAACCGTTCTTTAACTGAACTTATCCAGTGAGCTTTTCTTTTTTTTTTTGTATTGTCGTTAAAAAAAAATTGTGTGTGTGCATGTAAGTTATGTTGAGTGAGGAATTTTGAAAGTGGTCATATAAACAGGCGCACTGGACTAGTAACACGTGGCAGGTAGTACATTAATTAAATAAGGAAGCATAGCCTAGTGCCATGGAGAAAGGAGTAGGCTCATGAAATGGTTGATGGACTAGCAACGGGCAGTAGAGAACATCTGAACCATGGAGGACTGGGCTACATTTGAATTAAAGGATCACTATAGTGTCAGCAAAACAAACTCGTTTTCCTGACACTATATACTCCTTAGAATCCCCCCGCCCCCTCAGGGTCTCCCTCCCTTGGCGCTGAAGCCACTTACCTTAATCCAGCGCCGGGCTCCCTCGGTGCTGGTGACCTCTCCTTCACCGCCGACGTCAGCTCCCGAGCGAACGCGCATGCGCGGCAAGAACCGCGCGTGCATTCAAACAGTCCATAGGAAAGCCTTTCTCAATGCTTTCCTATGGACTTCCTGCACGCTGGATGCGATTTTCGCATCCAGCGTCGCAGAAGCGCCTCTTGCGGCTGTCAGGAAGACCGCCACTAGAGGTTGGATTAACCCTGCAATGTAAACATAACAGTTTCTCTGAAACTGCTATGTTTACATCTGAAGGGTTAAAACCTGAGGGACCTGGCACCCAGACCACTTCATTGAGCTGAAGTGGTCTGGGTGACTATAGTGTCCCTTTAAGGTGGCAAAGACTGTGCTAATCTCACACACACATTCCACACAGATACACTTCACACAAATAAACCAACTGCACATATACATCCGTACATTCACACATACTGACATCCCACATTGTTACAGCCCTGCATTCATACACTCTGACATCCCATGTCGCAAACATGCCTTCAATCAAACAAATAGCTGCTCATTTAAAATTAACTTTAAAATGTAATCTATTTTATTATTTGTTACAATTGTATTATAATTTGAATGTGTTATCTAAATAATGCATTAAAGGTACACTCCACTGCCCAAAAACACAAAAAAAGTGTTTTTTTGTTTGTTTTTTAAATCACTGTTTAGCAGGTATATCTGTAGTCAAAACATGCATGTATTTAAAGGGACACTGACACCGTCTGGGGACTTTGCCAAATTCACAATGACCTAGACCTGGCTTCCCCAAACTCCGGCCCTCCAGATGTTGCTGAACTACAACTCCCATGATTCTATAAATGAAATAGGCTGAGAATCATGGGAGTTGTAGTTCAGCAACATCTGGAGGGCTGGAGTTTGGGGAAGCCTGACCTAGACCGTGACATCACTGCTAGTGGGGTTGAGCAGGGGGGGGAGATAAAGGTGAGATTTACCTATCTGACCCTGTTCTTTTGATCTGGGGGTCCTCTTCAGAGCCGATATTACTGCTGCACTATTGTGCATGGTGGTCTATGGAAGATCCTGCGAGACCGTGGGTACAACCAATTCTCTGCAGCCGTCACTTAGACTCTGCCCTTAATCTAAGAAAGTCAAGCATAGTAGAAATACAAAGACAAAGTAGTCCCTACTTTGTCTCCGTATATCACTTCAATTTCACTTTAACTTCCAAAACAGTCATAATGAGTATTTTATATAGATTCTATCTAGGGATCGGCAGATATTTTTTTTGTAAGTATTGGTATCGGCCGATAATCACTGGCAATACCGATAATGAATGAGTGGGTCGGCGTGTCCATAAGGCGGCACAAGCGGCCGCCTTAGGGCGCACCGGCCCAGGGGGGTTCTAGATCGGAGTGACCGGCAGGAGGTGGGTGCAAAGTGCTCCCTCCTGCCAGGCACTCTGTGTAGTGTGGCAGAGTGGAGCAGTGCGCACCACCGTTCAGGAACTTTGTTTCCTGTACCCGGCCGGGGAATGGGGGTTGGTAAGGAACACTATGGGGGAGTGGGGGTTGGTAAGGAACACTATGGGGGAAGATGGTTGGTAAGGAACACTATGGGGGAAGATGGTTGGTAAGGAACACTATGGGGGAGTAGGGGTTGGTAAGGAACACTATGGGGGAGTGGGGGTTGGTAAGGAACACTATGGGGGAAGGGGGTTGGTAAGGAACACTATGGGGAGAGGGGATGGAAAGGAACACTATGTAAGGGGGGTAAGGAACACTATGTAAGGGGGGTAAGGAACACTATGAGACAGGGAAGGGGGTAAATAACACTATGAGACATGAAAGGAGGGTGAAGAACATTATGGGACAGGGAAGGGGGGTGAAGAACATTAAGGGAGGACACTAAGGTACAGGCGAGGGAAGGGAAATGGAACACTGGGATAGAGGCTGACCACTAAAAGAGAAAGGAGAGGGACAGGAGAATGGGGGGAGGTGGGAGGCACTAAGAGACATGTAAGGGGAGGGGAGGAAGGGAGTTCATACATATTTACACACAAACACACTGCATCCACTACACAAACACACACACTGAATCCACTACACAAACACACACACTGCATCCACTACACAAACATACACACACACACACTGCAACCACTACACACACTGAATCCACTACACAAACACACACACTACATCAACTACACAAACACACACACACACACACACACACACACACTGCATCCACTACACAAACCAGCACATTGCATCCACTACACAAACCAGCACATTGCATCCCCTACACAAACACACAAACTGCATCCACTACACACACATCTAAATATTCTTGAAAACATAACAAAAAAAATCTGACTGGCATGTATATTTTGTGCATTTACCAAAAAAAAATAGATTTGCAAAAAATAAATAAATACAGTAAATGTAAAGAATATCGTTAAGCTATCGGCCTGAAAGTTCACTGATTATCGGTATTGGTATCTACTCTATAAAATCAATTTCGGTCGACCCCTAATTCTACCTTCATGAAATACTAATTTTTCCAGGGGGATGAAGTGCAGCTTTAATTATAGATTTTTATTGGGGGTATATCTAAAACGGCTTGCAAAAGCTGCATGTATCTTGCCTACAACCTTTGAAAGCCCTCCCCTTCTTCTCCAGCCCAGACTTTCTGTGACTGTCCAATCACAAGCTTTCCAATGCAGTTAAATGAGAAGTCTTTTTAAGGCAGGGGCTCTGGGCAGTTGCTCCAATGAGCTAAATAACCAGGAAGTACCATGTTAACATATTTATAAATTATCTTGAAATAGACATTGAAAGTCGTGTTTCAATGTTTGCAGATGACACAAAACTCTGTAAAGTAATACAACGTGACCAGATTATTGCTTTTCTACAGAGGGATTTGGATAAATTAGGGGACAATGCACTCAATTGTCAGATTAAATTTAATGTAGAAAAACGCACTTTCGGGTAAAGAATGCACACAAGCAATTTACACCCTAAATGGTAGTGAATTAGGAATAACAATACACCAGAAGGATTTGGGAATTGTTATAGGCAACAATGTTCAATGTCAATCAGCACTTGCTAATGCCAGTAAAGTATTGTCATGTAAAAAAGAGGCATTAATTCAAAGAATGAAAATATAATTTTGCTTCTTTATAAATCACTGGTAACATCACACCTTGAATATAGCGCTCGGGAATATGTTGCGCTTTACAAATACCAGTTATAAAAAAATATATATACTGTGCAATTCCGAGCACCTTTTCTAAAGAAATATATTATGGCACTACAAAAAGTGCAGACAGGCTACAAAATTAATAGAAGAAATTGAGCATTTTGTTAGGAAGAAAGGTTAACACATTTAAATCTGTTTAGTTAAGAAAAATGCTGCCTCAGAGGGGATATGATAGCATTATACAAATATGTTCAGGGCCGATCCAAAGCATTGTCTGGAAAACTATTTATAAACAGGGCTATACATAGGACACAAGGTCACGCGTTTAGACTGGAAGAAAGGAGATTTAGCCTAATGCAAAGGAGATGGTTTTTACAGTATGAACTTCTGCCTGAAGAGGTGGTTTTATCGGAGTCTATACAGATGTTTAAACAGCAATTGGATAAATACTTGCAAAATCATAATATTCAGTGATATAATTTTAATTTGTGGGGTAATAGCTTCTTGATCCCGGGAGAGTCTGACTATCATTCTGGGTTCAAGAAGGTTTTTCTTCCTAGTTTGTTGCAAAGTTAGAGGCAGTTGAAATTTTTTTTTTTTTTTTGCCTTCTTTTGGAACAACTGCAAAAACAGATGTGAGAAAGGCTTAACTTGATGGACGCATGTCCCTATTCAGTTACGTAACTATGTAAATGCTCAGAAATAAAGTCTTTGAATATGTAATAGCCTATGTGGGAAGTGGGGGGGGATTATGTACTAACAAACTAGTGTGCCGATTGGGGAACTTCCCATTTAGAGACATATGAGTTTCCATAAAGTACTTCCCTTTCAGTTCCAGGAAGTTCAGCTGGCTGGCTTCTCGTAGACATATGTGGTCTGCACTGTCTGCAATACATTTAACCTCTGATAAAACAAACATCACATAATTCAGTGTTTGTTCTATTACTTTTCAAAAAAAACTCATATCACAATTTAGTAAACTTGCCAAAAAAAATGGGTTCTTTAAGCACAATAACTACTACAACATATTGTAGTGGTTATGGTGCAAGAAGCCTTCAGGCGCAGTCTCGTTGTGTTTATCAATGGGTCTTTCTTGGCACCCACACCTGGACCCTCTGCAGCCGCCTAGATCAAGTGGTATTTCAAATTTGGATGGCAACAATATGCTCCCAAAACAGTAATCACTTAGCCAACAGCCCGTGATTGCCACTAAATCTGGACTGGAAAGCCATATATCTTTTTTTCGTATTTATTTATTTTAGAACTGCTAAAAAAAAAAACAACAAAAAAACCCACAATGAACTGCACTCAAACATTCCTTGCACCATAACCACTGCAATAAGCTATAGCATGTTTGGTTTGTCAGCTATTTGTGTTACCGGTAATTACATAAATTCACTGTTCACATGACTTTACTGTATTACTATTAAAGCTATCCTGATTAAAAAGGAAGAGGAACAAGAAAACACCAATTATCGTGCTGCTATATTGACTAGAAAGTTAATAAAAAGTAAAAAAATATATTTGTAGTTTTCCATTTCATCAATATTTCAGTGATCTAGGTTAACTTTGAATAAAATGATATAGCCCATTCATAGTATTTTGCTGTCCTAATCATACCGCCAGATGCACATCTTTCTGGTTCTCTTGTTATAGTGTATCTCCGTTTTCTATTTGTCTCCTTTATATATTTATTTTGTGTAGTGTTCGCCCAAAATTTTAAAAGAGTAGGCAAGTTCAGAGATATCCCATTTTGTTGTTGCATGGAACAAATGTTACATTCTTTACATTTTATATCCTACTTCCCATAAAATGTAAAAACGAAATTTTGCTGGGATCTGTCTGTTTTTCCTCGTCCTTTTTTTTTACATCACCAGCTACCAAGTTTATAATCTGCTGTTTATTCCAGAACTTCTATTGCCTTGTCAGAACACCTTACAGATCCGCACAACAACAAGTCTCGAAACTCCTTAATTGATGAGGCCATGTCTTACCAAGGTGGTTTTTGGGTTTTTTTGGGTTTTTTTTTCAGTCATTGAAAGGTTGATGTTTCTTGAGTTTAGGCAATACGCGCCTTTTTTTTAAATACAATTTCATTAGTTCAATAAGATATAGCCGTAGCCCGTGTGTTCTTTAGAAGCATGTGTTTAATTTCCATTTACGCACTTGTTGGTAACATTCTTTCCAGAAATACTGCTAATATCTTGGCTTTGTTTGGTGAATTGAGAGAAGGCATGCTTTTTATCTCTGTGAATTAAAGGTAAGTGTTGGTTCCTGGCAGTAATATCTGGTAGCTAGGCTTACCCTGAATACTAAGTATTTGGCATTGGAAATGCTATAAATAATGCTGAGCATATGGCAAACAGTACTGCAGTATTTCCACAAATCTCTGAGATGTTAACATTTGTAGTCACTGAATAAAAAAGTTCAGGCACTCTAAGGTTTAAATCAGCATTTTATTGAACTACAGTGTCCTGCTTCTGGACACTGTAGTTCAATAAAATGCTGATTTAAGCCTGGACCTTTTTCTTCAGTGACTACAAACTACTTCTTGGGCCTTGGTGCTGGTCCCAGGTTTGGTTGCACCCAGGCTTTATTTATGGATGGGGTGCAGTTCCACATTTTGGTTTTTGACCTGTAAATATTGTTCCTTAATTATAAGTAATGCTACGAGATGGAAAGTCCTTGTATTTACTATCAAAAGTTAAAGCGAAGGAAGCTCTGCTCTGCGTGTGTTGAAGAAAACGGGCAAATATGGTAGATTGTCCAAGCGATGTTCGACTTGCAGGTTGTGGGTTTGGTGGATGCCTCCTCTGAATTGTCCAATCCGATGAGCTTACATCTTCTATTTACAAAGAGGATTCAAGATAACGCCAATAGATCTCTTTCACTTATATGGCCTCTATCTCATGCTAGAAGTGAAATCCTTTTTGAAAAGCTCTTAAACCTTTTTAGAAGAAATGATATGGCTCCATTTAGTGGTATTCTGTATACCATGCCTATTCTTTAAAGTGGTCTTTAGTGTAGCTTTCATTATCAGGGTTATTTACCAAAGTGAGAATTTGATTACAGTCCTACATTTTAAATTAGCTGAGAGTAGATTTTCAATAGGACTAGGTCACTAGGTACACATGGATCTCAGTCGGTAGAGCAGTGATGGCTAACCTTGACACCATAAATTGTTTCTGGTCTACATTTCCCATGATGCCCAGCTAGCTTTTAGAGAAATGTAGTCCAGAAACAATTTATGGTGCCAAGGTTAGCCATCACTGCGGTAGAGCATCAGACTTTTAATCTGAGGGTCCAGGGTTCAAGTCCCTGTTTGGGCACTCTCGTGATTTTTAGATCACCATTATGGAATGGCTGTCCAAGCATTACAAGTTCTGGTACACGCAAGGTGGGCTATTCACCTCAGTGAGAATTTAAAATGAATTTTAAATTTAAGGCAAGAGTAGCAGAATGGAAAACATAGGTTACTTAGAGAACATTTGTAGAAAACATTTCCAGTTTGGTTCATTTGACCGCAAATTTGAAATTCACCTTTAATTCTTACTTTAGTATTGGAGTCCATTTTCAACGTCGCCAACTTCCTTCTAGAAAATAGAAGGGTTTCGGGCTCTACCGTTTGAGTCATGCCCGCTTAGATTTTCTCTCAGCAGCCACATTCTAAACGCCCCTCTTGCCATGCTTACCTTTATTTATCCCACTGTCAAACATTCCTGTCGGGATCTACTTGTTCCAGACAGATTCAGTGTCTTTCTGATCTAGAAACGTGCTTTGAGAAAATGAAAATCCTGCATGGCTAGGGCCAATTGTCCCCTTGAAATGGATGTGAAGTCAGCATCATACGCAAAGAGGAAGGAGACCTCTCGGATACCTTGAAGCAGCTTGTCAGCACTCAAGCAAGGGGTGAAGGTGTGTAAACTGACAATGATTTGCGGCAATTTGTGTGTAAGCCGGCAGAAGAGATTCAATTTACAAGCAGGTGAGCAGTGCAGCGCACAGTCGCTTTCTGGTTGACAGGCAGTGCTACGTTTTCAATCAGCCGAAAGAAGCTTTTCAGTTGGACCATGTTACCGGGCACGCATGGAGCGCCAGCAGAGAGACTTTGCAAGAGCACGGATAGCTCAGTCGGGAGAGCATGAGACTTTTAATCTGAGGGTCAAGGGTTCAAGTCCCTGTTTGGGCGCTCTCATGATTTTTAGATTACCAATATTAAGAGGAGGGGCTACCTGCAAGTCTGTCGGCACTTGAGCATTTGGTGCAAGGTAAGCAATTCTTCTCCACTGAAAAGTGACACTTCAAAGAAATGACAAAATTTGGTCCAGGCTTTAAAAGTGCTGGTACACACCAAAGTGAATTTCAAATTTAAGGCCAGAGTAGCTGAATTAAAGAATAACTGAAAGAGAAGCTTTCAAGTCTGACTGTTTAGACTTTAATCTTTAAATTCTCACTTTAGTAAATAACGCAATATGAGTTATGCATATTCATTTATTTATTTCTGAGACCTGTGATCTGTCTACACCAGAAGACTGAGTAATCTGTCCTGTCCTCTGGGCTCTCCTATTCTGACGTTAAAGGACCACTATAGTGCCAGGAAAACATACTCGTTTTCCTGGCACTATAGTGCCCTGAGGGTGCCCCCACCCTCAGGGTCCCCCTCCCGCCCGGCTCTGGAAGGGTGAAAGGGGTAAAAACTTACCTTTTTCCAGCGCTGGGCGGGGAGCTTTCCTCCTTCTCTCCTCCTCCGTTCCTCCTCCTGGGTTGAATGCGCACGCGCGGCAAGAGCTGCGCGCGCATTCAGCCCGTCGCATAGGAAAGCATTTACAATGCTTTCCTATGGACGCTTGCGTGCTCTCACTGTGAAAATCACAGTGAGAAGCACGCAAGCGCCTCTAGTGGCTGTCAATGAGACAGCCACTAGAGGATTAGGGGGAAGGCTTAACCCATTGATAAACATAGCAGTTTCTCTGAAACTGCTATGTTTATAAAAAAAAGGGTTATCCCTAGAAGGACCTGGCACCCAGACCACTTCATTAAGCTGAAGTGGTCTGGGTGCCTAGTGTGGTCCTTTAACCCAGCTTTACTGTTTGACACTTTATTTTTTTTTCCGCCGTGTGATTTAGTTTTGCAGCGACTGATTACTTTATTGTCGTTATTCCAGGCTGTGTCTGTGCATGTTTAATTATCGTTGACTCACAGTTTTACCACCATTTCCATGGATATCATTTGTTGTATTGTGTGTTAGCTGTTACTCTGTAGTGTATACTCTGAAGACTTCTTTTTATATCTTGAATGCTGTATATAAATATTCTCTCCTCGCTTGTACTCCCCTGAGATCCCAATACCTGTAGAACAAACACCAGCCCTCTTTTATGAGCCATATAAATACCTGTTTTTTTTTCAAAGTGCTATCATTATCTTTGAATCCCATTGTCTGCATGCCCCTGGTTGTGCATATGCTTTATTTGTGTTCCTGTGTCGGTACCCTAGTACAATAATGTATTATAGATGGATAAATGGGCTATGGCGTCCCTGCCATCTATTCATAGTGCAGGTCTTGGCATTTTAGCGGGGGATTTCCTTGCAAATCAGGTACAGCTGAGCTCCCAATAATGACATACTGAGCATAAATTATTCAAACTTATTCACAAAAGTGGGGATTCTCGCAAAGTGAGTGAGGTTTTTTTGTTTTGTTTTTTTAGGCCGAAATTTCAACATTTTTCCAATTTTGCTATTTTTGTCTAAAATTATGCATTTTGTTTCCCGAACAATTCCCGAACATTCCCAGTTTAGTGTAAAACCGATAATAATTGCTTGTTCTGTGACAGAGCACGCAAGCAATTAACAGGCAGTTGTTTTTTGCTTACATTTTAAAATTCACTTTTCAATTTATTACAAATCAGGGTTTAGAGAAATCCCACGATGATCAACTTGTGAGTTGCTCTTAGATTTGTGGATATTACAGGATTAAAGCAAATAATAGAGGTTTATTTATTTTTTTCTTTTCATTTTCGAAGACAGATATAATCCTTTTATGTATATTTTAATACAGTCTCAATTGTACTGGCTATAACTGGTCCATTGTGTACTACTTTAAATATAATTTACTTCCCTACACCCGTAGGAGTTCATATGACTACATGTGACTCACACAGTGGCGTACATACCGGGGTCGCAGGGGTCGTGACCCGGTATGCACGCCCGTGGCAGTGTGGCCACATTTTGCCAGCCTCTTGTCCTGGGGGGCCCAGGGTCCCCCGAGGCTGGCAGTGGCTTCAGTTTGCCGGCGGCCGGGCTGCTGGGCGGGCGCGAGGGAGGGAGACGTCATATTTTGGCTCCAGCATCTGGAAGCAGCGCGAGGGAGCTGGGCAGAGAGCACTCAGGGGAGCAGGACCCCACTGGACCTCAGGGACAGCAGGACCCTACTGGACCTCAGGGACAGCAGGAATCCCCACAGCACTCCCAAAGGTTGGGAGGCTGGGGGATTAAATAAAATTAAAAAAAATATGTGAGTGTGTATGTGTGTTAGTGTGTGTGTGTTACTGCGTGTGTGTCTGTTAATGAGTGTGTTAGTTTGTGTGTGTCAGTGAGTGTGTTACTGTGTGTGTTTTGTGTGTGTCTGCTAGTGAGCGTCAGTAAGTGTGTTAGTGAGTGTTACTGTGTGTGTCACTGAGTGTGTGTGTCAGTGAGTGTGTCCGTTAGTGAGTATGTGTTTTTTAGTGAGAGTGTGTTTTTCAGTGAGAGTGTATGTTTTGTAAGTGAGTGTGTATGTGTGTCTGTCAGTAAATGTGTGTATGCGTCAGTGAGACAGCTACTAGAGGCTGGATTAACCCTCAGTGAAACATAGCAATCTCTCTGGAACTGCTATGTTTTCAGCTGCAGGGTTAAAACTAGAGGGACCTGGCACCCAGACCACTTCATTAAACTGAAGTGATCTGAGTGCCTATAGTGGTCCTTTAAGTGTATCTGCATGCACTGGTGGCACACCACGGCCGCAGGGGTCGCTGCCCTGTGTAGCAGCACCGGCACGAGCAGGGTAAGTGCGCAGGGGGATGGGGGGGGGGGCACGGATCAATTTTCGCACCGGGGCCCCATGGATCTTGTGTATGCCACTGGACTCACAAGTTAACTTAAAGCCAGACCCTAATGTATGTATGTAGAATTTCATTTTGGGTACACAGTACGGTAGTAATAGGCCACCAGGTGGCACTGTAGGAGAAGAAAACTGGGACCAGCAATGATTTGGTTGGTAATCATAAACACTTACTGGAGGATTTTGCTCTGGCCTTACCCCATGCGCTACAAGAATGACCTGCTTGCCCTTCTGAGCGATATGAAGTTTCATAAAAATTGTAAAGCATGCAGGGTTTTCAAAATTGTGTGCATGTAGGCCAATTAAAATGCAGTCAATTTTGGAAATGACTGATTTACACTAGGGCGTGAAAAAAAAAATCTTGAACAAAAATATCAGTTTAAAACACTCCGATAAGAAAACCGATAAATGTTTCAAATTAAATAACATATCAATAATGAATATAATAAGTACGTAAATCTTTTTGGCATATTCCACCCCCTGGATATTGCAACAACACAGTGTAAAAAAGATAAAATAAATACATAAGAATCAAACACCTTTTAGCCCAAGTTTTAGTGCAAAATGTAACCATATATAATGTCGTTTGAGTATTGGTTACTGAGCTTATCTGTTTGCTTGATTGAGTAGCCAAATCACTTTACAAATCCCAACAGGATCCAATACTATAAAGTCCCATCCATTTAATTGCTCTAAAATGCCGTTTTTTACAGCCACTAGAGGCGCATCTGCGACGCTGGAGGCATATTATGCCTCCATCGCGCAGAGCATCCATAGGAAAGCATTGAGAAATGCTTTCCTATGGACACTTTGAATGCGCGCGCGGCTCCGCTGACGTCGACCGGGGGAGGAGAGGTCACCAGCGCTGAGGGAGCCCGGCGCTGGATTAAGGTAAGCTGCTGAAGGGGTTTTAACCCCTTCAGCACCATGAGAGGGGGACCCTGAGGGTGGAGGCACCCTCAGGGCACTATAGTGTCAGGAAAACCACTTTGTTTTACTGACACTATAGTAATCCTTTAATATAACAATAAAACGGCTGCAAATCTTTTTAGAAGGGGGGAAAAAAATCACCACCTCTTGTCCCTATCTTTTCTGTAGAAGTCTATATGTAATTTGTTTTTCAAATTTATAGAGATAATTTGCACATCTACTTATAAAATGTGTTATCCAGATCCAAATCACAATTGGCCGATATGCAGATAGAAGACAGCGCCTTTAACAGGCAAATAATCTCATCTATATATAATGCTAGCTAAACGACGTGTGTGTGTGTATGTATATATGGAGGATTGAATGGCGTAATAGAATAAGGTACAAGGGCTGTGCAGTTATTGGGGTCGGCTAATGATGAATATTGGAGCAATCTTTAGAAGAAATAAGCGGGAATAAGAAAATATTTTATGGAATAGGGATGATTAAATAATCAATTTCCTTCCTATATTCAGGCTAGATTCACATTTGAATAATAATTTTTTTTTAAAAATAATATATATATATATATTCCATGAAATATTCACAAACGCTATCTTGCTTTCCAACCAAAGACTGGATTTCCTATTTGTTATATATCCTTAAACTAGTGTGTGCTTTAAAGTGTATATGTCACAGTACCCACTTGTTCAAAGAAAATGAAAACTAAATAAATTTTACCTATGCTTTATTCCATTAGAATTTTTAGCAAATGTATGGATCCACGTCAGCATATCTTCATCATTGATGGAAGTTTGGCCTACTAAGGTCGGGGTGGGGGATTTAAACAAAGGCAGGCGTGGGGGCTGTGTTTTACACCCCTAACCCTTCATCACAGTAACACTGGTAGAATTGGAAAGGCAGTAAATATTTAATTGACATGTTCTTAAAGGTAAACTGTCACTTCAAAAATATTTTTATGCATAATAATCTTTTTATCAGGTTTTGAAGATAAATATTTTTTTTAAGAATGAAGTATACGTAAAATTGATTAAAAACTCATCCCTACCTTAGGATATGACCAGATCCATCAACCATATACATTCACCTTTGGTCATCTTATCTGCTTCTGTGCAGGGAATAGAGCAGTGTAAATTATGGAGATGAATTGTCGTTTTCAAACTCTACTTGACCCAAGGTGTATGTATCTGAATGAGTTTTTCCTTATTCCTTTATTATTAGTTTTTTTTAGACTTGACATTTGTCCTTTAAACATAAATATATAATTTAACACTGTTATATATTAATATATTCTAATATAACAGTAAATTTACACCCTCATGTGTAATGTAGTATTGGTTTACACACGCAAAGCCAACAAAATAATTTAGGTAAGGCACAGCATGCAAAGCAGTTTGCAAACACGCTTATATGAATGAGGTCTGGTGTTCGGATCATACTTTTGCCATCTGGGAATGACAACAATTTTGGTTGCAGTCCAGCAGAGCAATCTGTCTGTTCCCACGATGACACTGTCCCGTCCATCCTCTATATTTATCTGGATTTCCTGCCTTAAATACTCCTGTCACTGCCAGAACAACCAGGAAAATAAATATAGTGTGTGTGTATGTGTATGTATATGTATGTGTGTATATATATATATATATATATATATATATATATATATATATATATATATATATATATATATATATATATATATATATGTGTGTGTGTGTGTGTGTATGTGTGTATATATATATATATATATATATATATATATATATATATATATATATATGTATATATAGTGAGAAATACAAGACTTTGTTTTTATAGTTTGCTATCTAATAGACTTGTTTATTCACAATGAATTAAACTCCACGATTTTAAAGTGAATTTTACATTTTAGGAATTAAAAACCTAGATTAACTTTTTCAACTTTACTAAATACCAGCGAAAATGTATGTCTGAGCCTTCGAGACTTACTTCGGGAAAATTAAAACTGGCCCTTTTGGGTTCAAGTGTAAATTTAAAACTCATTTGTTTTAAAATGAAATGGGTCTGAAATAGTTTTTTAATAAAAAAAAAAAATGCCTATATTATTTTTTTTAATTCAATGCAAATTCTCACAATTTGGGGCATCCTGATAGTCTTAAGGAAGATTTTACACTTTTTTTTTTGTCCATTTCCTCCATTTTTGTTGAAGACATGGTTATATGAACACTACACAAACTTTCAGGGTATGCTGGAGTGGAAAGGGGAAGGCTTGCAAAGATTGTATTTAAGAGATCTGCAGCTTTTGCAAACTGTTTATAGATATCCCAATAATGTAAAAACACAGGAATAATGCATTCATGTTTTTAATAGGGGTAATATCTACTAAATAGTAATTTTTTAACATGAATTGATTATTTTGTAATTTAAAACAAACAGGGCATTAGAATGTTCCTTTAAGTTACTTTCTCTACTCACACACAGTGTAATAATAAGAAAAACTTATCATTCCTGTCTGTGTTCCTACACAAGGTCCTGTTTATCCAGTCTGAATAACCTTTAGTCTCTGCAGAGAGAAACAGGCTGACCTTTGATCAAATTACATGTTGTGTGAACTGCACAACCTCGCCACCACACTGCCTAGGTTCTGATTTTTCTTTTCCCCCTGGTTCACTGTGATTGTACTCACAGTTCAAATCAATGAAAATACATCAGCTGTTCGCTTCGCAGGTTTTCATTCGCCATAGTGCCTCTTCCAGTCTTGCGAAGTGGGCAGTGACAGAGCTGATCTATTTACTTAAAAGTTGTGTTTGGATTCTCTTCAATTCCCACATGGTTTCATCATCTAACGTAATATCTTCCGCTGCCCCATGAAGGTTTCTATTTCAAAACAATACATCCTGAGAACTCTGTAAAAACATTGTAAAATGAAAAATCAGGTCCTTAATATATTGAAAACAGAGAAAACATCAAAATGATGAAGAGGAACATTTTAATGGCAATGTTATTGGTTCCACCATATTGTGTTCTATATATAGATAAGACATATACTGCAGTCGCAAAGGGTACTGAAATAATGTACAAAGTTATTGCAAATTTTAGGCCAAAGTCATGTAAAAATATAAAAATTACAGAATTTGTCCCAGTTGACAATTTTGGCTTAAAATGTGTACATCCCTTGTAACGTATCGGCCATTCATTTCCTAATTTTTATAGTATCCGAAAACATTTGTTTAGGTTGTTTTAGAACCCCTTGTGCATTTTGCCCATTTTCTTGTGATGTGAGTTTAAATGGTTACACCAAGCACCATGACCACTTCAGTGGCTTGAAGTGGTTATGATGCTAGTGCTTGGAGTCTGTTTGTGCAGTGTTTCAGTCTGAAACGCTGCCCATATAGAGATATTTTGGTTACCTGACAGAGGTGTAATTCCAGCTGGGCTGCCTAATCTTAAAGGACCGCTATAGTACCAGGAAAACAAACTCGTTTTCCTGACAGTATAGTATTAATAGGTCCCCCCCCCCCTCATGGCCCCCCTCCCGCCGGGCTGAAGGGAGAGGAAGGGGTTAAACACTCACCTTTCCCCAGCGCTGGGCTCCCTCGGCGCTGGGCACTCTCCTCCTCCTTCCGACGTCATCGGCTGAATGCGCATGCACGGCAAGAGCCGAACGCGCATTCAGTCAGTCCATAGGAAAGCATTCTCAATGCTTTCCTATGGACGCTTGCGTCTTCTCACTGTGAAAATCACAGTGAGAAGCGCGAAAGCGCCTCTAGCGGCTGTCAATGAGACAGCCACTAGAGGCTGGATTAACCCATATGTAAACATAGCAGTTTCTCTGAAACTGCTATGTTTACAGCAGACAGGGTTAACCCTAGAAGGACCTGGCACCCAGACCACTTCATTAAGCTGGTCCTTTAACTCTGTACATATTTTTTCACATAGACATTCATTTATTGTCTCAGAAAGCTCAGCGGACGCATTTAGACATTAGAAGCAGGATTAGCATCCTATTTCTGCAGCTCTGTAGAAGCTGGATGCAGTTAAGCCTAGATGGACCCAGATAAGAGGGCTAACCATTGCAAAACTGTTTGCCCCATTACTGGGAAATGGTGACAGATTACTACTAGCATCATAACGACTAGAGCAGGCTGTAGTAACCCTTTAACAACAATTCTACACATTCACTTTACAAGAGTTGAATTCTTAAAATTCTATATCATTTTTTATAGGAGGAACACAGGGAAATTATTGTAATTTACACATATTTTAGATCACACTACAAAATGGTGTTGTAAAAAATATGTACTGCAAACAGATCGTTTACAACACAAGGTCAAGCTGTTACCCAAGAAGGAATAGGATAGGGAGAAAGTCAAGAGAGGATACAAATTAGCGTTTTATAAATATTAAATCGTCCTCAAGCAGAGGTGGCAAAGGAATAAAACATTTAAAAACTAAAAAACCTGGGGGGAAAAGACAAAACTTAATTGATAGGGTCTGAAGCTTTAAATATAAATGATCAGACATTATTAATAGTCATATAGATAAAATATAGCCGGCCCTTATATTTTTGCATAGAGGTTTATAGGATTACATTATATGTTTCAAGGGGCAAGTAAATTGTTATACTTTTAAAACGTTGAGACCTGTTCCATCTTGTTGCGGGTTAATTATTTGCTACTGAAATGATAAAAGATTTATTTAGTCTCAAAATGGCAAGGGTAACGTAACTATATTTTTAGAAATAAAACATTTAATAGTTGGTGTAAGCTTTAACTAATCTTTAGTAGAGCAGTTTCTTTGCCTTGCCTTGGTATGCGGTAGTGACATTGGATATTGTCTTCTACTTTGCTAAGCACAATCTACAGTCAAGGTCATGGACAACTACAAAGTCATTTTAAAGAGTCCTCCTCCTGTAGTTTGTTACTGTTTTCCACTATAGCCGTAGGTGTGACACAGTTACTGAGGAGATGTTAGTTCTTGAAGGAATGTTCCAAGCACCATAACCACTATAGCACACTCTCAGCCACTAAACTAGCCTTGCACAATAGGGCTTTCCTCAATGGAGTGAATGGAAGCTCCTTCCAGAAGCTTGCCAACTCCACAGTTCACACACTTTTGATTACTTAACCTGGGAGTGTGCTGTACTGTTTATGGTGCGTGGAGTGTTCCTTTAAGAATGGGAAATAAGGAGCATTTTCATTGATCACATTGTTTATAAAAGGATATTACAGCAACCACGTGTTTACATAGATAATAAATTGCACTGGGCACCGTTGTCATACACCGTATACATGAGCAAATTACTCTGATTCTGTGATCATGAAAAGTACAATAAATGTTCAAAAATAAATACATTTTAAAAAAAGAAACACTATTGACATTGAGATTATGTGATAGCTCACCGGTTAACATTCTGGCTACACTATTTCAAATATCATAGAAAAAAGTTACCTGCGCTCTTCCCAAATCCCTGTATATTTAAACAAATGGAAGTCATTTAGTTACTCCAATGACCATTGGAGGGAATGCCCACCTGCCACGTCAAGGCAAACCTCTCAGATAGATCTTACACTGACTATTCACCTTGCTTCCTTGCGCTTCTGGCAAAAATATCTCTAATGAGGCAGAGAAGGGTATCTTTATAAACCCCTACATACCTATTAACCCTTAATAGGTGCTGATATGTACTGTGGTCATTGCTGCCGCCTAAGAGTAGTGGGAGTTTGAGCGCAAGACTTCTTTCAGATATCATAGTTTGATTCATGTCCAGATCCTCTATCCAACTAGTGTTTCCTCAAAGTGCCAACACGGCAATTAAACCTGAATACTGAGGTTTAAATTTAGAAAAAATAACTCGTACAGTTGTCCGAACTAATTAACTTTAGTTTTAAAAGACAAACACAACAGAGAGTTCAATTATATAAATTTTAAATAATGATATACCGGTAAATAGATGGGTGGGGGGTAGGGGTACTGTGTGGGGGGAGGGGTGGTTGAAAAAAAAAGTATGCCAAATCAGTATCCCCCCTCCCTCCTGCATACCTTTAATGAATGAGGGGGGAGGGGGACAAAGCCAACCATGGTGCTCCGGTGGTTGTAAGTACTGCTTCCGTGTCGGGAGGAAGGGGGAGGGATCTGTGAAGCAGCTTCCCTGTCCTCCCGCGCGATGCTGTGTGGAGTGTTGCCATGGTAACGCATGGCAACGCTCCACACAGCTCGCAGGAGGATGGGAGAGCTGCTTAACAGATCCCTCCCCCTGCCTCCCGACACAGAAGCAGAGTAGGCGCCTGCTGTTTTGGGCAGGCAGGTGCCTACTCTGCATTGATGGCGAACCTATGGCCGCGTGCCCACAGAAAGGGCCCGGCGTGCCATAAGTTCGCCATCACTGGTCTAGGGTCTTTGCATAATTTGCAAAGATCCCAGACGGGGACATCACCTCTCAGGGCCTGGTGGCCGGGAGGGGACAGACGAAGGTGAGATTTACTTACCTGAACGTGTCCCTCGCAGGAGCCACCGTCCTCTTCCTGTCACCCAATGCTGAGAGAAAGCAGTCCCTACTTTGTCTCAGTTTGTCTTATGACTGGCTCGGAGAGTCTGTGAAATTCCAACAACGTCAATATGAGTATTTCATAAAGATTCTAAAGCAGGATGACCGTTCTTTAACCCCTTAAGGACACATGACGTGTGACATGTCATGATTCCCTTTTATTCCAGAAGTTTGGTCCTTAAGGGGTTAAAAAGAACATAAGTTACAGTAGTAATTTAGTAGTTTTTTTTTTTTTTTTTTTGGACAACATTTTCCTGTTTGAAACATATCAGAAAATCCCCAACCGTTTTTACCTATTCAATAATCTATAATCTGACAGCGCAGGGTGCCATCTTTCACATTCATTTTATCAATGTGTCTTTCTGCTGTGTAGTTATCAAAATATTATAAAGCATAGCTTCCAAGGATATATCGTCATAGTTTGAATCAACATCTTTCAGTCATTAATTCATCCAGTGATCCACTGTTTGATAAACCACTGAAAAAAAATGCTAAAGGGTGATTGATTCAAAAAGCCATAATAAAAATCAAAGATATGCTCAGAATATCCGAATCAGAGAAACTTGGTCCTAAAAATGTACGCCTATTCCCTATTCGCCTATTTCCTGTTATTAAATATTTTTTTTATACCTAACCTTCAATGTATAATTTGGCATATTTCTAATCAGTTCTGTTTCTTAAGATCATTTAGTTCATAGATAGTGATGTCCCGAACTGTTCGCCGGTCGGTTTGCCGCGGACTCATCATTGAGTAAACTTTGACCCTGTACCTCACAGTCAGCAGACACATTCCAGCCAATCAGCAGCAGACCCTACCTCCCAGATCCTCCCACCTCCTGGACAGCTCACTAAGAATGCAGCTTCACAATGAATGCTGTCCAGGAGGTGGGAGGATCTGGGAGGGAGGGTCTGCTGCTGATTGGCTGGAATGTGTCTGCTGACTGTGAGGTACAGGGTCAAAGTTTACTCAATGATGAGTCCGCGGCGAACCGTTCGGCGAACAGTTCGGGACATCACTATTCATAGATAATAACACCTAATGTTTAAAAGGTTCATGCCACCCAAATTTAAAAACCTTTGCACGACTGACACATGCATTGCTTTTACATGAACCATTTAAAGGGTAAATTAACTCTTTCCACTGTAAAATTAAGCATGGTGGGCATAGCCCTTATCAGAGGCTTTTGTGTAGCTTTGCAGTGTCTAGGAGTGTGTGAATACTTGTTATAACGGTACCTGAGAAAGTGATGACCAGTGAGGCACTTGTAGCATAGCGTTGAATGGGCTTGCCTTTCTCAGTCATTTTGTAAAATATGAAAGGGAGACTTAACCCCTTAAGGAAACATGACGGAACTATTCCATCATGATTCCCTTTTATTCCAGAAGTTGTGTCCTTAAGGGGTTAATATTGGCCAGAGGGCTAAAAACATCACAGTATTATGTTATGAGACATGTAAAAGGTATGTTTGGGTTGATTCTGATTGGAGAACACGTCAAAAAAGATTTTTCCATCATACACCTCTAATTTTTAACATTTTACATTGCCGTTTAGTTTTCATGCAACTGTCACCCAGTTTTTTCAGAAAAAAAAGTAAAGATGTGTTTTGTTTTTTTGTGTTTTTATTTTTTTAATGATTTTTTTTTTTTTTTTTTCAAGGGGCCCTCCAAGCATCAGATCGTTGATACACTGGTTAAATATTATATGATCAATAGGACTGCTGTCAGGCTGAGCGGCTTATCCCAAAAACCTCTGCTAGATAGCAGTCTATGGATAAATACTATATACCTCATAGTCCAGAAAGAGAAGCTGCTGATTTGAAGAGCCATTTCCTTGCCTTAGGATGGCTTTCTGCTGTGTAACAACTGTAGAAACGTTAAATATGTGTATCTTCTTTTTTTTATATGCAATTTTTTGCATTTCTTTTAAATGTATTATTAAAAATAAAGGTCACTAACAGCCTGGAAACTGCTTTTAGAGCTAGTAAGCAAGACATTGAGGCAGATGTTTGTTTGTTTGTTTGTTACACCTGATAATGGGACTGAGCAGAAAGATCTTACTCTTGCCAAATCCTCATTGAATTGGAATAAGAAGTTCAAGAAGACATTCTCAGTTGCTATCAATGTTTTTGGTAATTAAACTAAAAGATACAGGGTGAGATTGGGTTGTATGTAAAACACTAATTCTTTGTTTGCTCTGTTCTAAGCATAGAAAGGGAGAGGCAGATTTTAGTTTGCACCCTTTGTTGGATTACAAACAGACAATAAAAGGGTAATTCACAGTTATCTATAATGTATGCTTTAAATACTCTTTACTTGCATATATAGTGCATATATATATATATATATATATTTATATATATATATGTGTGCGTGTAGAATCCCAATGCATAGTTGGTTTGCATTTAGAATGTTTGCTTGCTACTTTATCTAAGCTGTAGGGAAGGTTTACATAAAAGAGTTGTGATCTGAAAATTTTGTGCAGAGTTATAAAAATGAAATAATCACCAGTGCAAATGCTATTGTTTCCATGGTGACAGCACAACTTTTGATGAATCACTTCCGCTGATTTTAATATTTTATTTAAATACCCACAAAACTATTTTATATGAAAAAATGAAAAAAAAGTTCATTCAAATGTATTTAGAGAAAAGGCAGCGTTTACATTGCCTCTAGGGACACTTCCAAGTGGCCACTCCTCAGATGGCCACTGGAGATGCTTCCTAGAGAAGTGCTGCACAGTAGGCAGCACTGCCGTTCAGCATCTCCACGCTCTGGATGGGGACGCTGAATTTTCCTCATAGAGATGCATTGATTCAACGCATCTCTATTAAGAAGTGCTAATTGGCCAAAACGGTGTTTGGTCACGCCTGCTTGCCGATTTTAGCCAATTCGATGCTTTCCCTATGGGGGGGCTAAAAATTGGCAATTCTGATGATGTCATAAAGGAGGAGGATCGGGGGCGGGGCTTATAATAAAGTGAGTTTTAATTCCTTTTAAGAGGGGTTAGGGGGGGCAAACCACCTACATGGTGGGTTTAACACTATAGGGTCAGGAATACATGTTTCTATAGTGATCCTTTAAGGAATTAGGGAACGCAATTATCTACAAAATTTAGCATTTAAAAAAAATTATAATAATTTGCAATCTGTGTAATGCTGCGTAGACAAAATAATCAAAATGTGATTTGTAAAAATTCTCCAGACTTGCTATAGTCACACCTCGGTTAAAATGTTGCAATCTGGATTTCTACTCATTACAATTTGGTGAACAATCCCCATAGAAATAAAAAGTAAATGAAAGCACCAATATCATCCATTTCCTTGCTCTAGCACTGTCCCATCCATTTTAATTTTCATGTAAACAAGGTGAAGCTCACATCTGTGTATGTGCAAGCAGCATTGCAAGAAGGAAGCTCTGGGAAAAGGTCAGGTTCTCAAGGCAGGTTCCCTCGTGTCCCCTTAAACGTTTGTGGGTCTACAGTCTACTCAGGTAATTTTCAAACCTTCAACTCAGAGCATGAAAATTAAAGAAGGCTAGGTCCCTTTAAGTGTCCCTTTAAGCAGTGGTGACACTGAGGTGGTTGCTTGAAGGAATCATTACTTGTGATACATTATTGTACATATTTTTTAACTTGTGCTTTTTTCCCTCTTTTTTTTGCACATTTGCTGTCTTAGCTGCATTATTGCATGTATTTCTTTATAATTAACTTGTACTACAATTTGCATTGGTTACTCCATTATAAATAACTTTATAAATCATTGATTGATATGAGCAATACATAGCCAGTTTATTCAAATAATATATAAAACAAATACTGTATATATTAAACTTCGCTGCTGGTGTTTCCTCAATACACTGATAAAAGAGAGGCTAATGACGATTGAAGCATTAAGCTAATAAGGCAATTATGATTGCCTCAATTGCCTCTTTTACAACAGTCCCCTGTGTATTCTTCATGGGGTGAAAATTAAATAAGTAAAGATGAATCCATTTAACACATGTGGCACTTGCTACATGCTGTTATATATGTATATGTATATATGTGTTTGTATGTATGTGTACATTTGATATTGTTTTATACTATGTTTTAAAAACTGTTTTCAATAAACAATATCTAGGGGGAAAATGTTTTGCATGCAGAGCTTTTGAATTAATAGGTGTTGTTGTTGAAACTACTGTTTGTTATTGGCATGATTGGCAGACACTGCCAAGGCATCAGGACACTTGTGTATTTGGAATAAAAAGGTTAACAATAAGCTGCCGTTCCCAGGTAAAATGGAGCCCATGGGAGTTTCTGATAACTTGGGTAAGGCCGCCACTGAATCTGTGTCTGTATATCTGGTTTGAAACAGGTAATTCCAGTTCAGGGCGTTGTAAATACATTCTGTATTTATAACCAGGGAAGAGACAGTAACAGTGCGAGTGTCTAATAGCTTGCACTTTGTACTGCCATTTAATACTCAGACATTGTAGGGTTAACCTTAAAAAGCTAAGCAGAGGGTCTATTTGAGGATCAGTGATGTGGAATATGGGGAGAGGGGGTAATTGGGAATAAATGTTTCCTGCCATTCTCTAACATTCACAATCAAATATATTTGTCTTTCTCACCTTACAGGCTCAGAGCCACATCCTGCCTCATTATGGAGGAGTAGATGTCCACTTCGATGGGATGTTTGATTGTTTTAGGCAAACTGTCAAGTTAAAAGGAGTGTTGAGTCTTTGGAACGGACTCACAGCAAACCTGATAAAGGTGAACAAATTAGTTATTTCAGTATTTTATTTTTTACCTGCAGGTTATTGCTGTTGCATAAATATTATACCCATCTGTCTATCTTTTTATTCTTGTATTTGTCGCTCTGTCAATCATTAAATCTATAGTTATATCCATTATTTAATCTAATTATTTATCTCTCTATCGATCTGTCATTGAATCTGTCTATAAATCATTCTATCTGTTTACTAGTCTGTAATATAAATAATAGACTAAATTTTGAATTAGCTGGGAGTATGGTTGTGGGTTTATAGAAAACGTAAGCATCGAAACGCTGCTAATCTCACCTTATCCAGCCTTACTGAAATAAATTAAATAATTTACTGTATGAAGGAGGTTTTTGTAGGGAAACGACACCTAATAATTATGTCATTATTTCTATAAAATTATGTAAACTGGGCTGTAGTCTAATGACTTTAATGCTCTCTCACAAGCAACACTGCCAAAAAAAAGCCTCCCTTTTCTTTTGTAGAGCCAGAACCTTCATTTATGTTATTTTGTCTATTCAAATTTTAAAGTGACTAAATTGTGGTAACATGAAAACCAAACTGCAAAATTTAGGCCAAAACTGGTGATGTAATATAACTGTCGAACTCTGATTTCTTTCTATTTATTTATTTTAATTTGTCTAACCATTTGCTCGTTGTAGTAGTTATGGTGTCATGTACCACCGGCACTATCCACTGATTTTCTAACAAATCATCGTGGCGCTGATCTCGACAGCCCTCTGTGCAGCAGCAATGAGGATTCTATTGACGGCTGTGCAGCACACACCACAGAATTATATCCAAAATATGTCTGACATTTAGGATTTTTTAATTTTAAAAGAAAATCAGAATAAAAATGCGTTACTTACACTTAGTTTTACATTAATGCGTAGCTTAAAATTCCTTATGGTGGTAAACATCGTAACACAACATTGAGCAATAGGCTCAACAGTACCTTTAAATATTTATCCTAATTACAGTGTTTCTATTTCTAATTAGACTGCATTTCTATATTTACAGGTTGTTCCTTACTTCGGCCTGATGTTCTGTACTTTTGAAAGCTGTAAACGGTTCTATCTGTATCAAAATGGTTATATTGTTTCGCCACTGAGTTACCAGCTCACCCCAGGAGTTGATCAGAGCTTACGGCCACAGGAGCTGCAAGAACAGCGCAAGTTTATTAGAACCAAGAGCTATTCCAATCCTTCTCTGAAAAGCTAACCTGGAGGGTCTGCACTCGCGAGACCACTGTAAATTGAGGACTTAAAGAAGGGAAAGCAAACATCGCCAGTGGTTCATGTGGCATAGGGACAGCCCTTGTCACGTGAACTTCAAACTGGCCCTCTAAGAACTTTATTTTATTTAGGGTTCATGAAGATGGCCAAAAACCTGTTAGAGGGATGGAAATTACTCTTGTGGGTTAATTATATCCAGATACTACTAGTTAATGTTTTGAATGCTTTTGAACTTTAAACCCACCTACTGTGGAGGGATATTTCAGACTTCATCCTGCAACTGACCAGTTAGAAATTAGCTGGTTACATGCATACTCAAACGGTCTGGGTGTTCCATAGACATAGGCACTGCGAGCGGAGTTAAATCCAAGTTTCCAGAATTCCACCGCAACTGTAGCCTGTATATATATTTTAGAATGTTAATAATTTTGCATAAATCATTTTTCCCCTTTATAATGGAAGGAGGAATTAGAGTAGAAACACAACCTTTATCGGAATGTGTATTCCTTTAAAGGGCCTGTGTTTACAAAGTTAAAATCTAAATTCTACATATAATCAGCAGTTGCTATTACAAATAGCATGTATTCTAGACATAAAAGACCATCCATCACAAAATCTAAAATATCCTATATTTTTATGTCTCAAGTTAAATGTGCCAAAGTAACATTGAAGGAAGGCTTAGTCTATAATTGCTAAATTTAATTGTTTTAACATCTTAAGAGCTGTGACCATTTGGAAGATGCTGTTAAAGGTATTTAAAGGTATAAAACATTCAAAACATTTTCAACTATAAAAGCAATAATATTGAACTACTACAATTTGTTGTAAGTAAACGGTTTTCTTTTGTTTGTTTTTGTTTTTCTCAAACTATTTTTTTTAATTTGGCAAGTTGGTCCTTGTATGTTAATAACCGCACATAATCAATTTTTTAATATAAGCACACATTTATCTTCACAAGAGATATGTCCTAAAACTTTCTATTTTTGGTCATAGGATTATCAGGATATTAATCTTCATAGCAAATAGTTTTTAGTTATTTCCTTTCTTTGTCCAAGTCATCTAATGTATCTGGATTCCTAAATACAAGGGCTGGGCTGGTATTCATTGATCATTAACATTTTAATTCTCAAGATGTTTTAAATAACTTGTCCTATTGATGAATACCTAGCAAAAGGGATAGTTATGCTTAGTTGAGCCTGGAAAATAGTAGGTCGCACTTGATGAGTAGGAGATACAGAAGGGTACAACTAACGAACACCAGTGTGTTGTCAACACAATTGATACAACATTTAGAAAAAGCAAATTGCCATTTCAGAGTTACTAGAAGGATTATCAATCTCTGAGATTTGTGGTTCTAGAACGAAATTCACTATTAATGGAGCCCTCTAAACAGCAGAACCACCGCAGCTTAATGTAGTAATTCTGGGGTAAAAAGACAGATCGTGCAGGCTCAGCAGTGTAAAATACGCTTTCTCTGAGAAAAGGAAGTGTTTACACTGCTGCCTAAGGTCTTCTCTGGTGGTTGTTAAACGGAATGCCACTAGAGGAGCTTCCTGGTGGCTGTCCTGCAATTTTTGCATGACCGACATTCGGCATCTCAAGTCTACATGGAGATGCCAAACACTGTATTCTATGAGAAGAGGCTGATTGGCACAACAGGATCTGTGGCATTCCTGACGAGACCAGTGTGCTAGGGATCTAAAGGTAAGTAAAAACTTTCTATTTAACTTCATTAAGAGGTGTCTTGAATCTAAATAGGTAGTATAACACTCTTTAATCAACTTGGGAGATAGCACATGAGTGAATACAATGTTATAAAACTATTGTTTTATAACATGGTAATTATCACTTTCAAGGGTTGTATACTTGATCTACTCACCTGTGAATGTATGAAAAAAAAAGCATAAAAACTACAACGCTGGGGGTGAGTTCTAATATTGTCTTTCAGAACAAAATATTTGCGTTATGTTAGTGCTGTCAATAACACTGTGTATGTAACATTGGTTTTGTACAGAGAGAGAATATTCCATCAAAAACTGTCATTTGTACTGGAATTATACTGAAGTTCCAACACCATCAAAAGATCTGCATAATTTAAGACATCTCATCGTGCAATATGGAATAAATGGCTGTGGCACTAAAATACATGTGTTCAAGAAGCTCTGCAGAATTATGTGGGATCTTCCATAGATCACTGTTTTGTACACTTGATATACATGAGAATGCTGAGAACATGCTGTTCCTGGCAGGTTCATTTGACAGTAGTTAAAGAGGGGAAGATGGCAGCCCCCTTTTTTTTCCCCAGTCACCACCATGAAAATAGACAATGCAGAGATAACATAAGAGACAGGTCCGCTTCAACTAGGCATAATTCCTTGTTATCCATATTTATTGTTTTACTATTAAGTAAGTTCTGTTTAATAATAACTGGATAATAGATAAGAATGAAAACTAGCAAATGCATGCTGCTTCTGAACCTCTGCACTCATGGGAATGCTGCACAATAATATTTTATAATAATTATTTTTATAGTAATCTCTGCTATTTCATGGTCTCTAGACAATATGTTTTGTGACTATACTGTAGAGGAGGCATTGCCAAATATGTGTTGGATTGTTGTTTTTTGCAGTTATTGAACTTCAAGCCCCATAAACCACTACCAGTCAAACGTACATTAAAGGGTTTCTCCATGTGCCATGACCATTTCAGGGTTTGAAGTGGTCATAGTGCAGAGAACCTGTATGTGCTGTATTTCAGTATAAAACACTGCACATTCAAAGATAATTGGTATTGCTGGAGAAGGTGTAAGTCCATATTCAAGAGCCTCATTAGCATCCAGGCTGGCTAATGTTAAATATGTGCATAAAAAAGCCAGATGTCCGCATTCACATCATGCTGGCGATGAGCATCCCATGGCAGCATGGACTTCCATTTCATGAGGAGGCATTGCCCACCCTATTCCTCCATGACATGCCTCCACATGAGTGCACCCACCATCGTGGGGTTCTAAAGAGTCGGAAACTTGGTCTGTCAAACATTTCATTGAACAAAGATGGCTTTAATTTACATTTTGTGTATATATATTTCCCATGGATGGATAAATAACTACTAGCTCATCTTTGTACATATCTGGACCATGCAGATATAAACTAAAGTCCTAAAAGCATAATAAATGCTAGCTAACCTGACTCATTGACACAATGTTCAGCCTCCCTGCTATCTGACTATGGTAGAAATTGTATAACAACCAAAGTGTATTTAGCAAAAGGCTTTTACAGCTATGACACTAACTGGAATTTAATCAGGTGCAAAAAAAAATGGTTTTCTATTCTGTTCAATGTATCCAAAATCATGGTGTTAAGTATGCTTCGAAAAATATAATACAAATTATGGTGTAATACCATCTATCGAATAAAAATAATTAACACCTGTATGTCACAAGTTTTATGATGGTTGGTTTGTTTCAGTTATTTTAGACATTCTTTGGACGGAATATCATGATGTTTGTCGATTGAATTCCATGGAGGGAAAAACAGAATAATTAATATATTTCTATGTCTATGAAATACCTCAAAAGTTCAGATTGATAACATCTGTATCTTTAATTCTGAAAACTATATTGTCTTACATAAATATGCTTTGGTAAAAACTGCTGCCTTTTGTCATGATTTATGTAACAAACAAAAAAATGAGTATGAAACCTATTTTATCATGAATACCTCTATATCTGTTCACTAAATGAATTTAGAAGTATAATGGTCATGGTTAAAATTTGCGTTTTCAGGAATTAAGATTTAATTAGAATTTTACATTTTGGGGTAAAATAGCTTAATTGAAAAAAGTTCTAGGTTTTCAGCATACAATATTACACTTAAATTTCCCAACAATTTACATTTTAGTGAATAACCCTGTATGTATTTTTGTTTATATGCGAAACTAATCTCCATCATTATTTTAGTGTATGAGCACAGTTAAAGGACCACTATAGGCACCCAGACCACTTCAGCTTAATGAAGTGGTCTGGGTGCCTGGTCCAGCTAGGGTTAACCCTTTTTTTTAATAAACAAAGCAGTTTCAGAGAAAAAAATCACAATGAGAAGACGCAAGGGTCCATAGGAAAGCATTGTAAATGCTTTCCTATGAACTGGCTGAATGCGCGTGCGACTCCTGCGCGCATGCGCATTCAGCCGATGACATCGCTATGAAGGAGGAGAGGAGGAGGAGAGCTCCCCGCCCGGCGCTGGAGAAAGGTAAGATTTTAACCCCTTCCTCTCCCCAGAGCCCGGTGGGAGTGAGACCCTGAGGGTGGGGGCACCCTCAAGGCACTATAGTGCCAGGAAAACAAGTATGTTTTCCTGGCACTATAGTGTTCCTTTAACTGATATCCCTCAGTCGTTATGCAATCTTTAATAGGATAAACTTACCAATTGTGGTAAACATAATTTCAATCAGATATCCTGGGTTTTGACATGCATTCCGTCTCCGTCCCCCCTTTTGCAGCTTACACTGTACTGGAAAGGCTTTCCAGAAGATTTTGGAGTGTTTCTGTGGGCATTTTTGACCATTTATATAGTAGAGCATTGAGGTCAGGCACTTATGTTGGACAAGAAGGCCTGGCTCCCAATCTCCATACCATACCAGTTCATCCCAAAGATGTTCGATGGGGTTGAGGTCAGGGCTCTGTGCTGGCCAGTCAAGTTCTTCTACATCATACTTATTCAACCATGTCTTAATAGACCTTGCTTTGTGCACTGGGGCACAGTAACGCTGAAATAGAAAAGGACCTTCTCTAAACTGTGCCCACAAACTTGGAAGAATAGCATTGTCCAAAATGTCTTGGTATGCTGAAGCATTACTATTTTCCTTCACTGAAAGTAAGGGGCCTAACCCAACCCCTGAAAAACAGCCCTACACCATTATCCCTCCTCCACCAAATTTTACAGTTGGCACAATGCAGTCCAATGGGTAAAGATCTCCTGGCATCCCCCAAACCCTGACTCGCTCATTAGACTGCCAAACAGAGAAGCATGATTCGTCAATCCACAGGACACATTTTCACTGCTTCAGAGTCCGGTGGCCACATTCTTTACACACTCGATCCAGTGCCTGGTATTGCACTTGGCGATATGAGGTTTGCCTGCAGCTGCTCGGCAATGGAAACTTATTCCATGAAGCTCCTGCTGAAGTTGTTGTGCTGATATTTATGCCAGTGGAAGATTTTGGAACTCTTCAACTATTGAATCAGCAGAGGGTTGGCAACTTTAATACACCGTGCGCCCAGGCCCTTAGTGACCCTGCTGTGTGACTTTATGTGGTCTTCCGCTTCGAGGCTGAGTTGCTGCTTTTCTTAAATGGTTCCACTTTCCAATAATACCACTTACAGTTGACTATGGAAGATCTAGCACTGATTAAATTTCACAAACCGACTTATTGAAAAGATGGGATCCTATCACAGTGCCACGCTTGAATTCATCAAGCTCTTCAGAATGACTCTTTGTTTTTCACAAATCTTTGTAAATGCAGACTGCATGCCTAGGTGCTTGATTTTATACACCTCTGGCAATGGGTCTGATTGAAACACCTGAATTCAGTAATTGAAGTTTGACCCAATGCTTTTGTCCACATAGTGTCTAAATGGCTTGCTTTGACATGAGTCAATACGTTCCATTGGTCTTTATTGACTGTTGTTTTTTTCTGTATTATGTTTTATTTTTCTTGTAGAAATAAGAATACTCACCCACGTGGTTGACTTTTGCCATATTATAGGTAAACATTATTTTCAGGTCAAACATAATTAGTGTCTGTGATAGTTTATTTGAGGGACATCCGACATCTTGCTATTGTTTCATTGCTCATTTAAAAAAAAAAAAAATATATATATATATATATATATATATATATATCCAAAATAACTGGTCCAGGTTCATCTATTAAAAACTCAACTTCTGATTTATAGAGCTTCCTATCAGACAAACAAAACCACCCATTGTATTTACAAATAAAATGCTGTCAAGCCAGAAAATTCTTTTGAAACCCTAGACATTGTGATAAAATGGTGTGGCCAGGAATTTCCCTGCTAAAGACAAAGATAGCCTGCTGTTAGAAGCCCTGCCCATGATCAATAGGCACTAGAGACAAAGCCCAAAGTCTTCAGAGAGATTGCATATCCTTCAGTTTATCTTGAAGGACATTATCAAACTATCAACTGATTCCCTCAAAAGGCTGATTTTATCACCGAACAGACTGAACAATCACGACCATGGTGTAAGTCTCTATGTCCTAAAAAGATAGCACCTCTACAGATTCACCAAAATAAACACTCACACAGGCCAAAATGTGTTAATCAATGTCTTGCAAACTTTCAATCTTTTGGTAAAAAAAAAAAAAATGCATAATGGCCTAAGCTACAGAAAAACGGGGGTGGTTTATCAAGGCAAAACTGGTTCTATTCTGAGAGACATTCCATTGGTTTGCCCCTCATTTAGCCGTTTACCCCAGGACAACACTGTTTTTGCCTAGATAAATTTCCCCATTAAAGCATGATATACCAGTCAATGTAGGAATGTGTTAAAACCCTCAAAGTTCTAGAAATAACTTCAATAGTCCATTGGCAACTTAACTCAACAAAAACAGGATTGTCCAGATCCCAACCTAATAAAACGAAAGGTGACTCCAATGCCCAGTTTGTCAGATATCTTATTTTTCAAAGAAGCATAAAAATAAATCAATACCCTTTGATTGTTCCATAGCAATACCATCATGAAGTCAATAAAACCACCAAGAAAAATAAATGTGTTTACCTAAATTTACCAGGTTCATTTTTGGAAACCTACATGAACAATACAGTGGGATAAATGTTGGTCAATCTGATATTTTTTAATTTCTTTTTGGGCATTTTGTAGAGAGATTGACTTTCCTATATTGTCACTGAGCCGACATAAATAAGCATTTAAATACGTTGTTTCCTTACATTTGAAAGCAAGTTAGTGACGTGAAGGAAAGATGGCTGTGTGATGTACAAATTCAATAACATTCCATTAGTATAAATATGGACATGTGCAGGGTGAGTGAGAAGAAGCAGGCCAAAATACAACAACACATTTTTCACACATTTTTCTAGTGTTTAATAATTTCACTGAACAGATTGTGGAACACTAGAGTCTCGTTTGTTGGGCACCTATCAGAGCTTGTCGCTTAATCTTTTAACCAATCAAATTATTAACCAATTAAGTGATTATAATAAAACAATCATGCCATGTGACAGACTTCAATTACAATTATTTATATAGCGCCAACATATTTTGCATCGCTAAACAATATGAAACAATACAAACCTTTATTCCTAACAACATTTTCATGACATACAGGAACAATAGTTGTTTTCCAAGCTCGCAATCTAAAGGACTTTCCACGGCTGCATTTTTTGTTTCCGTTTCTTTGGAATCAATGGAGCTCAGTGTTGCATACTCAACACATGGTTCATCCGAATGATACCCTGGTTAAAGCTAAACAATTAACTGTGCTTTTTTGTAAGACAAAATATCAAAGCTTGAACAAATAGCCAAGTGGTGGTGTTATTTCCAATTTGACTACTTTGACCTAACATTTTTAATTCTGTTGTCAATGCTCCTAAATCCCCATTTATTTATTGAACTAAAAGCCCATGGTGTATGTTTAATAAAGGTCAGATATGCTCACCTCTGATTTAAATGTTTCCTTGGGTTGATTCATTTCTGCAACATTTAACACAATATAAAAGGGACACTATAGGTACCCAGACCACTTCAGCTCAGTTTTTGATAAACTGCAAGACCTACCTTGGATGGTTAACTTCACCTCTATTGTGACTTCAGGGTGGTTAGGTACTTGCCACACATGTGCATTAGATCATTCTTTCCTAGCACTGTTGCTCCCTTTAGTGCCTCCCTTCCTCGCGCTGAAGGAGCTAAAAACCTCTTTACCACTTACCTGCTCTAGTGTGGCCCTTGGTACTGGTTCAGACTCTGCCTTCGCTCCTCCTACGCCGATGTCACCCAGCGTGAATGATCTAATGCGCATGTGTGGCGAGTGCCTTACCACCCTGAAGTCACTATAGAGGTGAAGTTAACCATCCAAGGTAGGTCTTGCAGTTTATCAAAAACTGAGCTGAAGTGGTCTGGGTGCCTATAGTGTCCATTTTATATTGTGTAAAATGTTGCAGAAATTAATCAACCCAAGGAAACATTTAAATCAGAGGTGAGCATATCCGACCTTTATTGAACATACACCATGGGCTTTTAGTTCAATAAATAAATGGGGATTTAGGGAGCATTGACAACAGAATTAAAAATGTTAGGTCAAAATAGTCAAATTGGAAATAACACCACCACTTGGCTATTTGTTCAAGCTTTGATATTTTGTCTTACAAAAAAGCACAGTTAACTTGTTTAGCTTCAATTAGGGTATCATTCGGATGAACCATGTGTAGAGTATGCAACACTGAGCTCCATTGATTCCAAAGAAACGGAAACAAAAAATGCAGGGGTGGAAAGTCCTTTAGAATGCGAGCTTGGAAAACAACTATTGTTCCCATATGTCATGAAATTTTTTTTAGGAATAAAGGTTTGTCTTATTGTTTAGCGCTGCAAAATATGTTGGCGCTATATAAATAATTGTAATTGAAGTCTGTCACATGGCATGATTTTTTATTATAATCACTTGATTGGTTAATAATTTGATTGGTTAAAAGATTAAGCGACAGGCTCTGATAGGTGCCCAACAAACAAGACTCTAGTGTTCCACACTCTGTTCAGTGAAATTATTAAACACTAGAAAAATGTGTGAAAAATGTGTTGTTGTTTTTTGGCCTGCTTCTTCTCATTCACCCTGCACATGTCCATATTTATACTAATGTAATATTATTGAATTTGTACATCACACAGCCATCTTTCCTTCATGTCACTACCAAGGGCCACACTAGAGCAGGTAAGTGGTAAAGAGGTTTTTAGCTCCTTCAGCGCGAGGAAGGGAGGCACAAAAGGGAGCAACAGTGCTAGGAAAACAACTTTCCTAGCTCTATATGTTTCCCTTTAGTGAGTCTTGTGAAGCAGCTGCATCACTTTCCAAAGTGGCTATTCATGTCAGTGGAACTCAAAACTAATTTGTCTACAGTGACTGCTCCTGCTTAGCGGACATCCCAAACACCAAAGCAATCGATGGTGATAGAAAGTTCACTCCCCCTGCACATAGCTGCATTAAACGGTAACCATTTGCAAAAATGGCAGTAGTTACAAGACTACCTTTCTCCTTCTGATGTCAAAGAAGGAATTTCTATTTCTTGCTCTGTGTTCTAAATAGATGGGCGTTACTTGGTTGTCATTCTTTCCTCATCTACTCTATCCGGCTCTCTGAAAGAACCCTAGCCCTCTCATGGAGCCTTCATCATTGTGTTACTAAGATGGTGGTGCCTGGAATTCCACGTTCTGCGCTTCCTTGGGTTTGCACGGCTAAGTCCTCTAATGGATCTGTGTTGACTCTCACGATTTTGCAAGAGTCAACACAGAGTGCCAGTGACGTGCCACTCCTGGAAGTGACGCAACACTGGAAGGAGCTTAGTACAGCCAATAACAAAGGCCATAGAGCTTGACTAAATCTCCACCATCGGTCAACTTTTCCTTATGTATCACTTTGAAAAGGAGCATAATTCTAAATAAAAAAGGTAACTAAGGGGAGGGAGTACACATGTCAATGTTAGGTAGAGAAAATGACTGCTTAAACACCACTCAAAATGTGATTGTTGAAATTGCTACTTTTATATTAAATTGTTACTTTCATATAAAAGATGTTCTCATCATCTTTTCAAATAACCCCCAAAAAATACATTTTAGAATATGTTTATAGTAACCTTCAGGAGTCTTTGTATATCTTGCAAAGAAACCAAAAGGTGATATGCCCGCTCTGTGTGTAGTGGCCAAAGAGTGAAACTGAGATAAGATATATTCAATATGGTTCCGCCATATTCTTTCTTCAGCTCTTGGTGCCTTACCCACCAGAGCCCATGTCATTGATGTACTCACACAACGTGGATTTCTATGGAGGATCCTGCGAGACAGCAGCATCCTCTATAGATCAACTCTCAAAGGAAACACAGTAAATGTTGCTAATCCCATAGTTTGGATCCCCAGTCAGTTTGGGGGGTTTATTCATAAATCAAAAATGTAAAACTGACTAGAGAATTGCATATTTTAGGAAAAAATAGCCAAGGTGAAAACAAATCGAGTTATTGAATAAATTGGGACATTAGGAGAACTGAATTACAATTTTTTGACCAAAATAAAAAATGGCTGTCTTTTGGGAGAATTAAAATATATAGTTCCCTTGCAAATTCCTGAATAACCTTGACGAGGTTATTTACTAAACCAGGAAATTATGAGAATTAGTTAGGAAACTTCTTATTTATTTATTTGATTTAGAAAAATTATTGAATTATGGTATTGTCAAGCTAAACTATATTGTCCTAAAATTTACACCCCAGCAGAGTTATTCACTAAACACTGAATTCGGTGAAGTGAAATCCAAATTGAAAAATGTAGGTTAAAAAAAAAATAGCTGATTTTAAAAAACTTTTCCGACTCAGCTTTAGTTATTTTTATTTTTATAGCGCCATCAGATTCCGTAGCGCTGTACAATGGGTTACAGCGTAGCTTTTAAAAAAAATTTTTGCTAAATTTTGCAAATCAGATTTAAATTCACTACAAATCTTACTTTGGGGAATTAACTTTTCCCAGATTTCCCAGTTTAGTGAATTTCCTCCTGTGATTCAGAATACATAGACCACCATTAGAGTGAATTAATCCCCTCTCCACATATCGCCGTTTAGTGAATAGACCCCACACATGGTATGTCATTGCCTGATCTCTATCCCCATTGGTTCTCACTCCAAACCTATCACCCTATTAAAAACCCACATACAGCTGTGTTCAGGCATGGCTGTATTACAAATAAATGGGATTTGTTTTTTTATTTCCATGTAGTGTTATAGAAATTCCTAGGAGCACCGTCTCCTAGCAACGCTCTCCTTTATCCCACGTCACCCAGGCATCTCCCCTCCTCCTCCTACCCCCCTCCCAGCCTGCAGAGCGCGCGCGCTACAACCGCCAGCCCTTTCCCTCCACCTCAGGTTCCAACGTTCCATTCCCCCTGCTCTCCGCCAATCGGCGCCCGCGGAGGCCCGGCCACGCCCCCATTCGCCAAAGCCCTAGCGCTCTATATAAGGCGGCCATTTCGTCAGCGCACTCCCCAGCCCTCGGAAGCTTTTAGTGCTGCAGCAGAAGCCACTCACCGACCGAACCGGCAAATCACCATGAGCGACGCGGCCATCTCATTCGCCAAGGACTTCCTGGCCGGCGGTGTGGCCGCTGCCATCTCCAAGACTGCTGTAGCCCCCATTGAAAGGGTCAAGCTTCTCCTGCAAGTAAGACTAATCCTTAACATTCCATGTTCGAAATCTCTAGCCAGTGTTCTGGAATCCTCTGAGAATTCCATGTCCCTGTCATTAAAGTACCTCAGGTAACCTTGGGATGGCTGCAGTAATGGCTGCCTGGCTGAAGGGCAGATGTTGGTGCTGTAGGTGATTAGTTGATGGGATGCTAGGCCTGGCTAATCCTCCATTACCCTTGGCTGCTGCTTCCTCCCTGTGGTAAATCAATGTGCTCCTTCCTCCAGTAACCAGTCATGATCTCCATAGTGACTGAGGGGAGAGTTGTACCCCCTGATGGCCTCTTACTAATACCTGACTCAGGCCAAGGTCGCTGCAAGGAGAGAGTAGGCCATCCTGGGGGTTATGATGCAGATACAGCCCAGCTTTAAAGGCTGCCTTGTGAGAACTTGCCTTTCAAGGATTCTGTTACATTTTCAGCATTTGTGTTTTTTTTTTTTTTTTTAAATCTAGTTATATATATATTTTTTTTTTTAAGGGTCTACTTGCTAATCTGGTCCCCTTGCAGTTTTGTAAGACAGTTACTGGCCTTTTGTTTCCTGGTGGCGCTATTGTGGCCCCTTTAAATCTCCCTAAATCCTCTGTGCTTGCAGTGACTTGTCTTTACAGCTGGACCCTGCGGTTGTGTAATTTCCCGGGATTCTCCTCCCTCCCCCCCTTCCCTCCTTTCTTTACCACGTGTTTGCAGCCGGCACAATGAATGAATAACTCACCATTTTGAGTAGCTCAGCATAGGGCTGGGCCCAAGGACGGAAACTACCTCCTCCTTTAATAGGAAACTCGTGGATCCCCACATCCTCATTCTGATATTTCTAAGAATGAAGAGGTTTTTATAAGAATTTAATATTTTTGCAAGTTTTTTTATATCCTAGATTTTAAGCTTGTTTGAGCAGGGCCTTCATCAACCTATTGTCCCTGTAACATTTTGTAATACCCTCACTTAATCATAAGTTTCCTTTATATTGTATATTGATGCAAAGTTAGCGTTCTATAATCGCCAATAATTCTGCTTAATTTGAATTAGAAACATCAACATGTGTGCATATGTACGAAATTTTTATAGAAATAATTGATTTCTGTCTGTAAGTTTAAACTTAACAGATCTTGGGTTTATTCATCTTATGAAATGAAAAGTACCATTCTAGATTGTGAAACTGCTAAACTTGGGCCTTTTCAAGGTGACTGTCAACACTTGACATTGAATAAACCTAATGCAGATGAGGCTGAATTTACAATTATTTATATAGTGACAACGTATTCTGTATTGCTATATAATGGGAAACAAGGCCAACATTTTAAAAATTTATTTCAATTTGACTTGGCTTAATCTTAAAAATTGTGTTGTAATTACAAAAAAGGTTTTGAAATGCTATGCAGTATACTGTATTAGTGACACTAAGCATTATCTTTCTTTCTTCAGGTCCAGCATGCAAGCAAACAGATTACCGTTGACAAGCAGTACAAGGGCATTATGGACTGTGTTGTCCGTATTCCCAAAGAACAAGGTTTCGTGTCTTTCTGGCGTGGTAACCTTGCCAACGTGATCCGATATTTCCCAACTCAGGCCCTCAACTTCGCCTTCAAGGACAAGTACAAGCAGATTTTCTTGGACAATGTTGATAAGAGGACCCAGTTCTGGCGGTACTTTGCCGGTAACTTGGCATCTGGTGGTGCTGCTGGTGCCACTTCCCTCTGCTTTGTCTACCCTCTTGACTTTGCCAGAACACGGCTGGCTGCTGATGTGGGCAAGGCTGGTGCTGATCGTGAGTTCAAGGGCCTTGGTGACTGCTTAGTCAAGATCTCCAAATCAGATGGTATTAAAGGCCTTTACCAAGGTTTCAATGTATCTGTTCAGGGCATTATCATCTACAGAGCAGCTTATTTTGGAATATATGATACAGCCAAAGGTATGTTTAAATCTCTAGTAAATTGTGGGTTGTGATAATGGTAATTGTTTAATGTTTTGGTGTATCCATAACACTTCTTCTTTCTGTTTAGGAATGCTTCCAGACCCCAAGAACACACACATCATTATTAGTTGGATGATTGCTCAGACAGTAACAGCAGTGGCAGGTTTTGCATCCTATCCATTTGACACAGTCCGTCGAAGAATGATGATGCAGTCTGGCAGAAAAGGAGGTAAGTTCTCAGATATTCTCCTTTACTTACTTCTCATGGCTCCCTTAACCCCCTTAAGGACATGTGTGACACTTCATGATTCCCTTTTATTCCAGAAGTTTGGTCCTTAAGGGGTTAAAGGGAAACTATAGTGCCAGGAAAACAAACCTTTTCCTGTCACTTACCTGGGTTCAGCATTGAGGCCCCTTGGTGCTGGCTCAGCTCCTCCCTGTATTCTGGGAATTGTAGTTCATCCCTATTTTAGGGGCAGGGTTGACATTCTCTAAATTAAAGCAGATCTGTCACTCTTCAGTATTTCATAACCGTATAATCTTTGAGAAACTGAAATCCCAAATGCAAACATTGTAAGACAGAGTAGGATCTACTTTCTTATGGTAAAGCCTTAGGTTGACAAGACAGAGCTGCTCTCCACTCTTCAATATTAAGCTGTGGGATTATTCAGGTTTTGTCAATGGTGGGTCTCAGACCTACAGCACTGATGTGGCAGCTGAAGCCACAGCAACCAAAATAACCTGTGGCATTTAGATGGCAGTCTGCTTCAAGGGACTGCTAGAGAAATTTAACTCTACACTGCACCTTGTCCACCAGTTCCAGAATGGATCTATTTTCCTGTCTTTGCAAAATATGAAATTGGCAGACTTAAACAGTTAAATGCACACTAGTTCGGAATATAAATGTGTCCATAATTCCATAGCTTCCTGGTGGCAGTTGAGGGGTGGGGGGGTACTTATTTTTCTCTCAGCACCAGTCTCAATGGCTGGCCCTGATACCTATACTGAGATCAATGCTTTGCCATAGGCAGACATAGCAAGGTCAGTGCACATGTGCTGCAAAATGCCTCAATCGGATGGATAGTTTTACACTTTGGAAGTGACTGCCATTATATGCACTTAAACCCTGCAGTGAAAATAACTGCTGTTCTGCAGATGAAGTGGTCTTGGTGCCCTGTCTCTTTAAAACTTGTCCCTGGTAAAACAAAGCAGTACGCGGGGGTGAAAGTAAAAGTACATGTTCAGCTCAGTAAAACCGTCTGAACTGTGCGCACTACTTTACTTGTATGTCTTGGTTAAATGGACTCTCCAGGCACCCAGGCCACTTCTGCCCATTGGAGTGGCCTGGGTGCCAACTCCCACTACTCTTAACCCTGCAAGTGTAATTATTGCAGTTTGCTATAAACTGCAATAATTACTTTGCAGGGTTAACTCCACCTCTACTAGACAGCCACTAGAGGGCACTTTCTCCTTCATAGCACAGAAAACCTGTGCTAGAGCGTCGCTGGACATGCTCGCTCTGTGAGGACCTCCAGCGTCGCTCAATTCCCCATAGGAAAGCATTGAAAAGCATTTTCAATGCTTTCCTATGGGGAGCTCTAATGCGCATGCGCAGCAATGCTGCGCATTAGGTCTCCCGGGCCAGTGGGCGGGTTCAGTCTCGCCCACCAGCTGACGTAATGCGGTGGAGGGAGAAGCGGTGACGGACATGTTGCTGCCTCTTGTAAGTGACTGAAGGGGTTTTCACACCTTCAGCAACCTGGGATTGGGGGGTGGGAGAGGGGACCTGCAGTGCCAGTTAAACAGATTGTTTCCATTTAAGTATTTCAGCCCCTCTAGTACCAGTATGCCAGACTTCCTATTGGGTAACCATAGGAAGTATAGTAATCTTGTGACTGTAAGCCTTGGTCTTAAAAAGATGTTTGAAGTTGGTCATTTTGCAAAATGGGGGGGTGGGAGAAATCGAACTTTTGGCTTATTCATATGTGTAAAATGTATTTTCTTTTGCAGCCGATATCATGTACTCTGGAACAATTGACTGCTGGAAAAAGATTGCAAGAGATGAAGGTTCCAAGGCTTTCTTCAAGGGTGCCTGGTCTAATGTTCTCAGAGGAATGGGTGGTGCTTTTGTGCTAGTCTTGTACGATGAGATGAAGAAATACATCTAAACCTGACCTTGTCCAGATACCTGCCATGGCATGCTGTATTATGTAACATACCCTGAACGTTCATGGACTTTTCTTTTTGTCAAACACATTTATTTATAAAGTGCAACCGGTTATATTTTACTAGTTGTTGTTTGGGATCAATCCTACAGGCCACCAGCTTTCCACATTAACACAAATCATTCCCTTCCCCTGTCATTATTGTATGCCTTGCACTATAGTGTAGGCTGTCAGAAGTGATGGGGATACAACAATGGGACTCAACGCTCCTTTATATTTTATTTCAGCCATTCATGTTTTTAAGTAACTTGGATTTGAGGAAATAAAAAAATAAATAAAAATGTGGATCGATCTCTGGCTATTCTTGTGTGAATGCACTAGCTAATATAACATTTTGCCTGTCAAGTTAGTTTAAAATACAAGTTCGTTTGCCTGGAGTTATAGCTGATTTCTTTCTAGTACAGCACAATGGTAATAGGTTAAATCTAGTAACTTACACGGTTTACTATATTGTACATAACATGTAAGCTGTCCTGGTAACTAGAAACTGTATTGCTGTGATAGTGTACTAAGCTATGGCCAGGGATATTGTGGGATGACTCTAGGAAGACTAGTGGCTGTAAGTGCAAATCTCTTGCAGTCCAATTTTAAAATCTACATCAGTCTAACCAAAGTCAGTCCTTAATCTACAATGATGGTCTGAGGTTTTTTGTCAGAATAACATGAGAAGTGACCTGCCCAGCAAAGCAGACTTAAATTGCAGTGTTATATAGTTGCTGTGAAAACGGATTTCCTACCTCTTAAATAACAATATAAATGCTTGGTCAGTGTCTGAGCTATATTGATTGGGTAAAATGCATTTTTGTTTGAGCAAATTAAAATTTATATGGCCCATCATATCTGGTTTAGTTCACTTTCTTTTTGTGAAGGGGTGGGGTATAGGGCATTTCAGCAGATTTTCTCCCACTGCATTGATTTGTGCCCACACTCCACTGCATCATGCTGCTCAAATCACTAGCTATTTATCTTGTGTAGGAGTATAGATACCTCATATGAGGCTGTTAGTGCCAAGCATATTCTATAAACATCCATTCACAGCTAGGAGTGCTAGATAAACTGCAGGATTACATGGATAACTGCAACTCTCTGAAATTCCTGCTTTTTGGAATTCCTCCCCTTAACCTCCTGGGAACAGAGGAAAAATGTCTTCCAATTTTTTGTGATTTCCTACCTATTTAGGTTTCCAGCTTCCCAGCATGACATATCACTGGCAAGCCCATGATGTTATCTTTACAATACAGCAGAGATTGAAAGAGGAGCTCAAAAGAGAATATGCATGTGAATGAAATGTGCAGTACAGAGGACACAAGTTAATGGGCTGGGTCTCAGGAGGTTAAGGACAAAGGTAAAATCAAAGGAGAAAGTGGAAAATAAAAATTAACAGTTTTTAGTTTACGATTTGCTTGGCTAATTCTGGTATTTTGTCCTGCTTGAACATTCTCTAGGTAGGATTATATAATGTCCTGTTTAAATGGATGAAGCTTGCATGTGTTAATCTTCTGTGGGGTGATACCAGGCTGCGTTGTGTTTACACATCAAATGTGCTAGACATAGGAGCTGGGTAAATGACATGTTAACAAGCAGGGCTGCAAATGCTTAGCATTTTGGCATTACACAAGCCAATGTGGCATACCAGACATGCCTTGTCTGCATAGCAGGTGCTGACACTTAGCTTCCTCGGTGCTGGCTGGCCAGAAGTCTTCCAAAGAACACATTTAATGTAACACTAATTCACTGCATGGCATGAGTGATATGTCTTGGAAGATTAAGCTAGTGAAAACTGAACTAGATTTTAATTCTGTAGGGTTAGTAGACTGAAACACATTCCAAAATGTGTAGGATGATCTACAGCTGCTCAAACAAAGGGGTACTGTTACTAAGTTTCTTATAGTAGTTCTGAATATTGTCAAAGTTGGTATCTAACCTTCCCATAGACTCCTAGCATTATATCCACTCGAATGAGCAGTAGTGCGGTGTGTGAGCGAGGGGGCTGTTAACTAGTAACACGGACATACTTCAGCTCAGGGCATTTTTATATTTTTTTTTTTTTTTTTTTTCCTTTTCTAGGACAGATTCTCAATGTTGGGCTGAAAATGCTCTCCGCAAAGTATCTCACACAGGAGTTTCATTTGTGGAAACCTGCACTACTCCGGGTTATGGACAACCTAGGGTTAAAATAATGTGCTTTATACCTAACCTGTCTTTCAGGGTAATACCTGATGTTCTTCACAAGGTATAAATTCCAAAGATGCACAACCCAATTTGTACAGGGTTGGTTTTGCGATTGGGGAAATTAAATGTTCTTAAAACTACTGTGTAAAAGAGTAAGATGGAGGTTGGATAACCATGTAAAGGCCCCCTGCAAAATTTCTTTGTATGTAAAGAAATGTATTGCAAAGCTCACAAGGTCAAAATGAGACTTATAGGGGGACTGTATAGCATTTAACCTGTCCAGCATGTACTGAATCAGTTTGTTTTCCCTTTGAATATGTGGCAATTATTTAAAAGGTTTGTTAAATGCAACTGCTGTATGTGGTTGTTAATGCTAATACAATCGACTTTCCTAGATATTTTAAGAGGATAACAAAGGTTAATTTAACAGAAACAAACCAACACAGTAGACTTTGAGTAAGTTGCAATCTAAGTGGGAAAAGCCAAGGTGAGAAGTTATAAAGAAGGGCAACTAAGACATGCACTGGCTGTAAATATTTTGGAAACTCTGCATTTTTATTTATAATCTAGAGAGCACAATCAGTAGTATTCCTTATTTTGGGCTGTGAGAATTTACTTCTGAGAATAATCAGAACGTTCTGAGTCATCCACGACAGAACACTGTATTCTAACACGCTGAACTGAATCTCCCTGCGGCCTACATATCTCTAAGTACACGGAAGCTGCACCTTGCAGTGCGTACAGAGTGAGGCATGACCTCTACTGAGCAGCCAGTCACTGCTCTGCTTGTTAGTCAGCCTACAATTGGCTGAGACGCAAGCATCACAGGAAGGAAGACGTATTCCTGTTAACTCCTTCATTGCAAAAAGATTACAATGTCTGCATACAGTCGTGTCATGTAGCAATACAACATTACTGAGGTCTCTCTCTGGTCACCTCTGTTTACAAATTAGAGAAAAATGCTTTGTGTGTATATATATATTTCTGCCTGTTTGTTTTCTGTGTTTAATCAAATCAATGGACTCCCTATTCATTTTATGATGGATTAAGCACCTTTAGATTTATGTAGAGTAAAATGTATTTTTGTAACAAAAATACATTTTACTCTACATAAATCTAAAGGTGCTTAATCCATCATAAAATGAACTCTGAGGACCCGGAGTAGCCACATAGGGTGTTCTGAGTACCTGTCCCAAATAAATTACATTCATGAATTAAAGGGTTACTATAACTTTTTTTGCTTTGCGAAAGATTTACAAGCAAGCTTGCGATGCCACAACAGCAAGCATGTCAAAATAAACAATATCATGGCAACTGAAAGAACTGCACAATTCTGGAATCTATTTTATTTTGAGCATGCCTATTGGCACACATATAGCTCAAATTCATGGTTTTGGTTTGGCCAGAACCTGTACAATTTCCTCTTTCCTTTAGGGGTTAATTTACCTGTCAAATATAATTTAGGTTTTTTTCTTTATAGTCTGAGTTAATAATTATTTTTTCAGTTTAGGAGAAACAGAAATATATCTTGGTAAAGTATGTGAATCAAATCAAAACACTTTATTTTGTTGAACTATTGGTTTCAACGATCAAATCAAATATCTTCAGTTATAGTTACTTTAAAGGCATTAAGAGGTATCCTGATGACCAATGAATTAATTGGCTCCTGTATACTTTCTCTACTATCTTAATCGATGTGGTTGTTTTTGTATGTCATGATTTTGTTTCTTTAATAGAAAAAAATCATTAATCAGTGCAAAACCAGTTCACCGCCAAGGTATAAGACTGACCAGAAGCCGATACTCAGGCCCTCCAAAAAAGTGGATAAGCCCACTCCCTCTAGAATTTAAGCTCATTGAGCAGGGCCCTCCACCTCTCTGTTCTTGTGTGTCCAACTTGTCTAGTTACAACTTCATGTCTGTTCGTCCACCCATTGTACAGCGCTACAGAATTTGATGGCGCTATATAAATAATAAAATAGTAATAATAAGTAAAAGCCTGTATATGATATATACAATAAACACAAGTTCTAAAATAGGTGAAATAAAAATCCACAAATCAATACCTATAATAATAAGTCCAGAATCTCAATATGTAGAAATGGGGGATAATCATATGGTGGGATATACATGTAGCAATTTGGCCTGTGTGCTACTTACCATACAATGTAGCCCAGTCAGACTTTAGTGTGCATGAGTGTAATTTATTGGGATGGTCATAAGTGAATTATAACATTTGCATCACTATATGATTGAGCTTTTCACCAAGATTGCAATTTGTAAGTATATAAATTGCAATTTGGACTTCAGATTCACATATTAGCCCTGACATTTGCAATTTAGAGGCATAATTGTAGTTCAGTAAATTTCTCCCAGTGAATGAAATGATCCCATTCTACAGCTACGTTGCATTGTAAATTTACACTCTTGTTGAAGCTGGATCAGAGAGACCTGTTCTGCAGTCAGTCTGGCTATGGGCAGGTTTGAACCAGATAAAGACTATGTGTTGTTTGCCCTACAGGGCAGCTCAGAGGACAGTGTGAAATGAAGATGCATCCATGGATTTTGCTCAGTAACACACAGTAACACACTCACTAGCAGACACACACCCAATAACAGACACACTCACTGACACACACACACAAACACTAACATACACACTAACACACACACACACACACTAACACACACACATTTTTAAAAAAAAATTAATCCCCCCAGCCTCCTTACCTTTTGGAGTGCTGGGGGGATTCCCTGTGGCCCAGTGCTTCCTCTTCAGCTCCCTCGCGCACCGCATAGGGATGCCGGTGCCGGAAGATGACGTCATCTTCCGGCTCCGGTATCAGTGCGGTGCGCGAGGGAGCTGAAGAGGAAGCACACAGGGGAGAGTGCTCCCTCGCGCGCTGGCCACCCAGACAGCCAGCCCGCCCGCCCGCCGGGGTCAGCAGGGCCAGCCTGGGGGGGCCCTGAGGTGGCGGGCTCCTGGGCCCCCCAGGGGAAGAGGCTGGCACAGTAGGTACATACTGGGTCGCAGGGGCGGCCGGGCCCCCTGGTGGGCCGGGCCCGGTCTCAGCCTCGACCCTGGTATGTACGCCACTGTGTATATTCTCTCTCTCTCTCACCAAATAGCAACTTCAATGTTGACAACTTTAATATTATATATATATATATTTATTAAAATTTTCTAATTTTGGCAAATTATAACACTATTTTATGAATATCTCATGAATAAACACCACTTTATAATTGTACTGAATAATTAAATTAAGTAGTCTCCCAATCAAGCTTTGATATCTCTAGGCTGGTAAAACATAATGGAGGTATGCATTTTATTCATGCCTCAATTAAGTAATTAATTATATAACAGTATTTGCTAGTGTGATTATGAACACAGAAATGTAACTGGAATATCAACATTTTGATTCTCTAAAGTCAATTGAAAAGTTGCCTTTCAAATTTGAGGCTAAAATAGCCAATCTGATAACACAGAATATTTTGAGAATTTCTTCAATTCTGCTACATTGGCCTGAATTTCATACTTTACATTAACAACAGCTCGCACTATAAAAATCCTGCGCTATTAGGTGCTAACATGTAGACTATTGCTAATTGATTTATCTTGTTAATTATTGTTCAGTTCTACAGAATGAGTTATCACTTCA